GCATTTCTTTTCACGTCTTTTCAATTTTTCATGTCCTGCATTTTTCTCTTGACAAACCATTACCAACCCAGACCACTTGCATGTCGACCCACTACTTAGTTTTGCTGATTTGTACGCACAAAGCGTCTCCTAACGAGTCATGTGGCTACTTGATTGTAGGTTTTGCGCTTTGAAAAATGATTCCAAGGCTGGTTTTGCGAGCTCAAGAACGAACACCGGTAAAGATGCTCTTAGGAAGTAGCCAAGCAAGCAAGTCAAAACTTGCGGTGGCCATCTACACAAAAAACAAAACATGACTCCTGGGAATTACCCAGGCAAAGGACTCTTGGGAACCACACAGGCCCTCAAAAATAACTTGGGACTAATTGAAACCGAAAGACAAACCCCCAAATCCAGTGCTTTGAAAGATAGCAACAGTTCACCTCATGAACTTGTTTTTTCCTCGCTGAACAATCACCTAGGCATGCAGAAACAATGATGAAGAAACTCAAAAGCGATGCAGAACAACAAGGAAATAATTGGTTCAAAAACTTTGTAGCACTGAAACAACGAACACATATAAAACTTGGCGGGGAAAAGCAAGGGAACAACCGCATTAATATCTAATGGTCTACTAAAAACAGTACCTCTCATATAAATTGAGAAAAATAAACAATAAAGAAAGAAGAAAAACATTTATAAGATAACCAAAAAGATACCTTCGATAACTTGGAAACTAAAAAAGTAACTTCGAAAACCATTAGTTGTAAGTTTGATTAAAATTATGGAAATTGAGGAAGATATGGCTTCAGTAACTTGGCGGTCTGTTCTTGCAGCTACCTCTTCTGTAGCTTCTGCAACCCAATTCTTCTCTTCGCGCAGCCAGCACAATGCATTCAGCAACCTCCAGCTGCAAGGCCACATAGCGGGAGCGTCACTACAGTCTCGTGCATTTTGTTCTCGACATCGAAGCCCGGAACCGCGGAATCACAGACCCTACTTCGGCGGTCCCAGAAGCGACCGTACCCGTAAAAACAAAGGACTTCGGCCTGAGAATGTCTTCACCCATGGATTCATACGCTCCCGGACCCTTTCACTTCAGGTTGACATACATATGTTTTGTATGAGGTATCTGGGTAATGTATGTGGTTGCCTCCTCCCCCCTGTGGTGTGGGGTGTGTGGGGATGGGGGGGTTGAAGCAGCATATCAGCCGTAGATGAGCAAGTATACAGGAGCGCCATGAGTGGTATCTGGGATGCATTTAGGGATGTAATGGGTAATCCATCAACAGTAGGATAATACATGCGTAGCTTATAGGCACGCTATTTGTCGTTATGTTAACGCTATTGGTTGTCAAATAAGTAAGAACGAAATTAGGTAATATTCAGACAGAAGTCAGGTAGCACATATTTATCTATATAATATATAAGATTATATGATATGCGATATATTTAGTATCTAGGTATGTTCTAGGTAGTATGGCTCTCAAATGCTGCAAACAGGTTGCAGGTCGAAGGTTGTGGCTCCGACATGCTGCAAATAGCATGCATATGGGAGGCGGTGGCTCGGTTTTTTTTGCGGGTAAGGGGGGTACCATACCAGAGGAGGGTGGGTGCGGAACTGGGAACCGGTAACTTGTATAAAGACCATTAAAAAATATCTTTGTTTGGCCTTCTCTTCTACATCTTCGAGAAAGTCCATGTCACAATGTAGGTCCTTGAGTTCTCCTTCTGGAGACTTGAACTTAGCCTCAATCAAATCGGGAACTGCAATGCTTCCTGGTGAAATGAAGATGGTCAAATCCAGCATGGCATTCCCGTACAATGTGTACACCATCCAATTTGGAAGCGGCATTGCTTGGCTTCTGCGATAGAACGCGCAGCGCGGTACAGGTATCTATAAATTTGAATGGTGTTGATTGGGCAACTTGATTTCGAGACTTCGTGCCAAAAGCTTACAATTACCAAAAGCCGGGACCATCCTTTGCAAGTCTCGCTTGCAAATGTCCGAAACCCAGTGATACTGAAGCATTCCAACATGCAATTCTGACAGTTTTGAGCAAAACATGCACTACGTGGAACCACTTGCAGAGACTGCCTGATCTGAAATGCACAGAATAGATGCCAAAACTGTTCCTGTGAAGCTTTTGCCTGTGGTCTAATGTTGATAGAAAACATGGCAGATCCAATTTCAGATTCAACGCTGGTGTCCCTGAAATGACGCGACGCCTCCATTGCCTACCTTTCAAAAACCTAACAGCGCATGTGATGGCCCTTCCTCGATGTTGGGGGAAGCCTTATTATGCATAGAAACTGAACGTTCTAAAGACTTCTCAGTGCAACTGCTCCTTCTTGAACCGTGGACATTGCTCTAGAGGTGTACGCAATCCTGTTCCTATTGCAGTAGCAATCCAGTTGTATTTATATTTGCGTAATGCACCAACTGATAAATAGATCCCCTTTGCTTCCCGTCTGAACATATCACTGCAAATCCCATGGCCCCTTAGGTCTCTGCTGTCGCAAATCCTTAGCATCCAGGCTATTGGAAGCTGCCAGTCACATCTTGATGCTGTCCCCCTCTCAAATTTTAGGTAAGCAAGATGCAGCCCACGAACCCGAATGCAGTCGTGGAAAACACTATAATTGTGAAGCAAGTTATTTGTGGAATGTGCAATGGGGTGGAACGCAAGGTGTGGAGTGTGAAGAACGAGGAGTGTTGAGTGGGGAATGTAGTGTGTAAGTGTAGAGTGTGGAGTGGGGATTGTCGAGTGTGAAGTTAAAGTGTAGAGTGTGGAGTGTAAAGTGCAGAGTGTAGTGTAGAGTGAGAGTGTGGAGTGTGGAGAGTAAAGTCTAAAGTGTAAAGTGTGGAGTGTGAAGTGTAGAGTGCCGAGTGCGGAGTGTCAGGCTTAAACGTAGAGTGTAAAGTGTAAAGTGTGGAGTGTGGTGGAGTGTAAATTGTAGAGTTTGGAATGTGGAGAATTCGGAGCGTGGGGTGTAAGGTGTAGAGTGTAGAGTGTACTGTGTAGAGTGTAAAGTGCAAAGTGTAGCGTGAAAAGTGTGGACTGTAAAGTGTAGAGTGTGGAGTGTGAAGCGTAAAGTGCGGAGTGTATAGTGTCAAGTGTGGAGTGTAGTGTAGGAGTGTGGAGTGTGGAGTGTAAAGCGTAGAGTGCAAAGTGTAAAGTGTAGTGTAAAGTGTAGAGTGTGGAGTGTGGAGTGTAAAGTGTAGAGTGCAAAGTGTGGAGCGTAAAGTGTAGAGCGTGGAGTGTGGAGAGTAAAGTCTAAAGTGTGGAGTGTAAGTGTAAAGTGGAAAGTGTAGAGTGTAGAGTGTGGAGTGTAAAGTGTAGTGTGTGGAGTGTGGGGTGTAAAGTGTAAACTGTAAAGTGTGGAGTGTAAAGTGCGGATTGTGGAGTGTAAAGTGTAAAGTGTGGAGTGTAAAGTGTAGAGTGTAAAGTGTAGAGTGTGGACTGTGCAGTGTAAAGTGTAGTGTGTGGAGTGTGGGGTGTAAAGTGTAAACTGTAAAGTGTGGAGTGTAAAGTGTGGATTGTGGAGTGTAAAGTGTAAAGTGTGGAGTGTAAAGTGTAGAGTGTAAAGTGTAGAGTGTGGACTGTGCAGTGTAAAGTGTAGAGTGTAAAGTGTAAAGCGTGGAGTGTAAATTGTCAAGTGTAAAGTGTACAGTGCGGAGTGTAAAGTGTGGAGTGTAGTGTGGAGTGTGGAGTGTAGAATGGGGGGTGTGGAGTTTAAAGTGTAACGTGTGGAGTGTAGAGTGTCAAGTGTCAAGTGTGGAGTGTGCAGTGTCCCACGCCTCATGCGATTTACATTGTGTCACCACTTCACGCGCAAAAAGGTGCAACGTGACGCGTAACGACATTACAACCTCCTTTGACACCTTGGAAAAGTAGAGGTTTTGCAGCTTCCCCGATAGACACGACGATGCCACAAGAAAACCAGAGCATCGAGACGAAACATGTTGGAGGCTCAAAACAAGCATTTCGTGCAAGACGTCCTCAAATTTTCACGCTTGGTAGCTACAACATTTTTTCATGAAATCCAAATCGACGACCTCAAAATCGATGTTTCGTGCGAGGCTTCCGTCAATTTTCATCACATCCCACAAACGCCACGCTTGCCAGGGAATTTGCACGTTGTCACCACTTCACGCAGCAATGCGATGCGCAAAAACACGCAACGCGACGTCATGCCACGCGAAATGACGCTGGAGGTCTCCAAAGTGCTGCGCCCTAAAACTGCAGCTCATCTTCTGAAAATGGCACGAAAAATTTGCGCCTGACACACATCACGAGTTTCGACACGGCATGACGCACGTGGGAATGTCACAAAGCGCCACGGCTGCCACGCGAACGAAGGTACGCGATGTTTGGAAGCTCCGAAAGTGACGACAGGCCATAGGCACGCCTGCCACGCGATGTTTTGCAAAGCTCGCTATAGGCACGGCCATACGGCCATCGCGCGGACACGCGCGGACGGCTGCGAACGGTTGCGGACGGTTGCGCAACGTCTGGCGAACACAGCTTCAACCCCCAAACCACCAGGGTGAAACGGGAACCCTTGCTACGCATTCGGGAAAAATGTGAACAAATGCATTCATACTATTCCAAACTTCATTACATACCAGCGTAAATAGCTTGCCAGTTTGCTTGCATCTAACTGAGTGTGTGGGCATGCGTGTTGAGCATCGCAATCTAAGTTGATAGGTTTTGATTTAAGCGTCGTCTTCCGAGTCTGATAGGGTGTTGCCAAGCTGGATCCTGGAACCCATTGGAATCCAATGCGCAGGTGTCAAGCAAAGCCAAGATTTGCAAGCAGAATGTTGAATAATATTGAATGAGCAGTCCACTTATATCGCTGTGTACGCTTAGAGATCCTTTACCTACGGAGGTGATGTGTACAGGATATATATATACAGTTGGGTTCTAGCAATGTCGGTAGATACGAGCCCCTACTCAGCTCGAGTTGGTTTCTGTATGCTTAACTTTCAAAAGCATAAGTGGTTGAGCGCAGAACGATCCCAGAGGAGAAGCGCCCATTGGTTCGCAAACCTCAAGCGCCCAAGTAGCATCAACAACATGCACAATCCTTGTTCACATACACCACACATACCTGATCAGACAAACTATCTAACACACTGAAAAATAAAGACAAGCAAAAACACACCTTCTCCAAGAAATCAAGGGAAACAATGGGAAAAGAACCTGCGTGGTCTTGAGGTTAGGAATCACCTGTACATGGTGTAGTTAAAGCGGTGCACCTTGGTGATCCTTGGTGCCTTACTGCCCCCAGCGAGCCAAAAGTTTCTCTGGTACAGCTTGCCATTTCGGGCCACCTTTTGCGGCGCGAGCAGACTATGGCTGACTAGGGGGAGAGCATGAGAGGACTTCAAGAAATGGACACTTCAAGTGTTCGAAGTCGTCGGGCATGACGATTCAACCATCAGGCGCCCCAGTTTTCCAGCTCAAGAATCTCAGGAGTTGAAACAAGGGGTTGTCAGTGGAATAGGTGCGCTTGGTGTACAAGGTTGATTTTCCACGGGTTGCATTGGGAACTCCAAGTAGAAATACTTCTGTCCATGATACGGCGAAAATCCTTCAGCTATGTCCTTTAGCATCCTCCAAAACATTCAATCTCTGAAAACTTTGTAGCTGCTCCAACATCACCGGCCTTGATGACAGAGTAGCCGGACGCCTCACAACACTGCCCTCCCACAACATTTCTATTTACATGGTTGACAGACTCTAGAGATTCTTGCATTGTTGCTTGGCAGCCCTTGTCTAGTGTGTATTCAAAGTATATATCTGTCCATGTGCCCCTGCCTGCGTTCTCTAATATTGGTGCATGCACAACATATGTCAGGTTGTGGGAAAGCTCCCAAAGAACTCTCTTGCGTCTCATCATTTAAAACCTGTCTGTGGCAAAGGCGGCAATATAGTGAGGAACAGCAGAGAAAAGGACTCTGGTTTTAGATGTGTACACATATGATATGTACATACTGTTTACCGGAGGAAGTTTAGAAGTCAAACTTCCGACAGATGAAAAGCAGAGATTGGAAGAGTCAGAGAGAAGAGAAGAGTAGAAGAGACAAGGGCAGAAGAGAGAAGATCAGAGAAGAGAAAGAGTCAGAAGAAAGAAGATGCAGGCGCGAAAAGGTAGGAAAGTTGCGAAACACTGTGTTTTTCCAATGATTTGTGGCTCCGGAGGGTCGAAAAGTAGGCTCGCTAAAGCGACGGGTGCGGAGCCATCTGGCCAGATGAGAGATGAAAAATTGCACGCCGTTGTGGTGCGAAGCGCATTTCGAAGTCAACATGTACAAAACACCGCATGCTCGGACCACTTTTGGAAGTTGAGATGTCTAAAAAGTGCACGCCGTTGTGGCGCGAAGCACATTTCGAAGTCAAATGTACAAAACATACCAGGTTCGGACCACTTTTGGAAGGTGAGATGTCGAAAAAGTGCACGCCATTGTGGCGCGAAGCACATTTCGAAGTCAAAATGTTAAAAGCACATAAAAGCACCACATGTTCGCGCCACTTTTGGACGTTCAGGTGTTGTTTCGCGTGGCAGGCGCAAGGGATTGTGCAAAACGTGAGGGTTTTGTCGCATTTCCAAAAACGATGGCAGGCATGGGGCATTTGAGGATCTGCAAATATGCATTTTCCGTGGCAGGCGCAGTACTTCGCACAACACTATAGTACACTACAATACACTACACTACAATACACTACACTACAATACACTACACCACACCACAACTACAACTACACTACACTAATCACACTACATTACAACTACAACTTACAACTCCAACTCCACTAGACTACAACTACAACTGCACCTACAACCACAACTACAACTACTGCGCTACACCATTACTACATTTACTACAATTAAGACAATTACAACTTCAACTACACTACAACTACAACTACGACTACAACAGCGACAACAAATACAACATTACAACATTACAGCTTCAACAACATCAACACCACAACGACTACAACTACAACTACAACTACAAATACAACTACAACTACAACTACCGCGCTACACCACACTACATCCAGGAGTTGTGAGGTGACCGCTGCAGCCAAAAAAGCACAACTCCAACCACCTTTCGGTCCATCAGTGGATTTGCTCTGCCATCCGTGAGTCACAACAACCAACCCTTCCTATAGGTTTCCTATTTTTGAAACTTCCGCCGCCGCCTTGTGCGGTACTACTGGTATATATATATATAGATACCACATCAAATATGTACTACAAATACTATCTCTCTTCAAAAGGCGGCAGCTGCAAGTGGGTTTGCTTTTTCAAGGTTTTGCTTTGAAACCCCTGTGGGGTGGCAAAGGTTCTCTTGGCAGGTGCTAAGTCAAACTGCGTGGTGGCGCTACATCGGAAGGATCCCAAAGAATGTCATACGAAAGGTTGGTGCCAATTTCACCCAATTGCCAAGTGATTGAACTGATAAAACATGATGCATCGTCGAAGGTCGCCGCAGTCTCACTATCCATGTGGCAAACAAGGATCGTGCCAGGTGTTTTTCCGTCTGTGATGCGTCTTTGGTGTATGTAGTACTGGTGAAGCAAATGCATTCAGAAAGTATCACGAATAAAAAAATCATGACAAATCATGAAGAATAGATTTCAAATATGGAGAATCATTGACCTTTTCATGAATCATCTCCAAGGCCCTGACTAGCTTCTGCAGCATCATTTCCCAGTCCTCCAGCGAATGCTTTTCAGTCAACGAGGAATACCTCCGCAGGCAAAAGCATGCTGGACAATGTCATCAAAGTCTCCTACCCTCTTTAAATTTTTTGCGTTCGGTGGTATCTCCAGCATTATCTTTCTGATATATAAATTACGCTCACCACTTCTACAAAGAGCTTTACACATGTGCACAGTCAGCCACAGGTCTACGCATCTACTTTTCATTATTTTCAATGTTTATCCATAGTGGGCAAATCGTTGTGACTGAGAACGTGAACGTGACAGGAACTTTGTAGCGTGGCTTCTTGAGAGTCACCCCTCTGTATATAGAAGCCAGAAAACCAGCATCTTCATCGCTACAATTCATAAGGCGATGAAAATCCAACCAGAATATATAGTAACATCTAGAAACTAGTGGGCGGTGTAGCTTTACTTGATAAGCTTTCAGATGTCTCAATATGTCTCTTTGACCCCTTTTGATTTTTTTTGCTCAAAGTCGGTTCGCTTTAATTTTGCTCAAATCTTGCCACGGCATGCTGGCCACTAGGTATGTTGGCGCGTCCACTTGACTCTGAGCTCCTCACAGCATATTCTGCGGCCCCTAGGCCGTTTCGGCCCGTTGGTTCAAAGCAGAATTGAAACAGTCGAGCTTGGATGAATAAAAAGGGGAACTTGAGGGATGAGCTGTGATGATGCTATGATGAGCTTGGACTTGGTACAGTATCCTTCTGCCACCAAATCAGGCCATCTGCAGATGTATCATTGTGGATTTCATCAGCAATTTCTTGAAACTCTTCTTGATATGTGCCAACTTAAGATCAAACAGTGAGTAGTGGTAGAGGATGCTTTCTCACCGCATAACCCCAGGAATACCTGAATAGAGATCATGATGGACTCATGGACAATGGAAAACGATGCAACCAACTGAAGTTGGAATTGGACAGGCGACTGCAACTTCGTGTTTCCTACGCCCTATGCTGCTGTTGCCAAAATTCGGTCAGACGCCCACCAAGATCATAGCGCATGTTGCCATCAATGAAACGCCGCAGAACAAAAGAGTACTGGCTAGGGAGTTATGCCGTGTCCTCCGTCGAAATCGGGAGCAAATCGATTTTGTAAAAGTTGTCGGGTCGACAAATCTGGCCGCAAATCTTCGCGTTTAAATTTTGCGATATGTGCTACACTTTAAAACCCTGTACGCTGCCGCCTGTACCCTGGAGCCGCCTAAGCTGCCTAAGAGCAACGTTTGACAGGCATCCGCACGCCTTGCGTTCGATTCTGAACTTGCACCATCCTTACGCCAGAATCGACAAAATGGTTGCTTTCCCTGGATTTCTGTTTCGACTGGTAAAAAGGTAAGCAACTCTATGGAACAAGAAGTGGACCTGTGCTTGGACCCGTCCGTATTCAAAAAATGTGGAAAATATTTGCCCCAACCGATCTCCATCCGCCTGTCTCTTGGCTTCTGACAGAAGTGAGCCAGGTCCGTGGCCAGCAGGGATCACAACATGGACGAGGTCACCAGCTCAGTGGAAACAAACAGTGAAACAAATGATGGGCACATATACAAGTAGCAACTAGAGTCCCAGACGCGACCAATTACTAAATATACCATGATATATCATATATATATATATATACTTGGATATTGTATATTGCCATAAATACATTTTATAGACTAGATCATCTTGGGATTTCACCCTGGCATCTGAGCTTCCCAATTTTTCGCTAGAAAACGGTGACGCCCTATACATTCATGCATCTCTAAAGAATCACCTTGAGACTGAGAGGGGGATAGAGGGGGTACACGAAAGGTAGGTGATCAAGAAGGGGAAGCCAAACCTGTGTGTAAAAACTGGCTGTGTGTAAAAGCGTGCTGAGCACACAGTTTTCTGTGTCATATTTTTCTTTGAAAAGGCATCTGTGTGTAAAAGCATCTGTGTATAAAAATTGCTGTGCGTAAAACCTTTTGTGCGAAACAAATCCGTGTGTAAAAACCGTCTGTCTATAAAAGCAGCTGTGCGTAAAACCTTCTGTGCGTAAAGGTTTCTGTGCGGAAAAAATTGCTCTGGGTAAAGTTTCTGCGTGCGAAACTTTCGGTGCGTAAAAACCTTTACGTGCAGTTTATGTACAAGTGTAAAAACTCCTGTGTGTTTTCTTTCATGCGCGCAAAAGCATCTTGGTGCAAAGCATCGGTGTATAAAAACGTCTGTGGGTAAAAACTTCTTTGCGTAAAAACATCTGTGTGTAAGGGCGTCTGTGTGCAACATTTTCTCTCTGCACAAACCTCTCTGTGTAAAAGTATCTGCGAAAGTTGCTCTGTGTAAAGGCGTCTGTGCGTAACGTCGTCTATTTGTAGAAACGTATCGGTGCAAAATGCCTTACCACAGCCAAAACGCAAGAAAAAATGAAAAAGAATCCAAGCTCAAATGATTGCTGTCGTTGACCTTGTTGATGATGGCGATGATGCGCGCAAGGCCCCACAAGGCGTCATTTTGGCTGCGTTAAGTCAATTTTGAAAAGCCTTCGGGACAAATTATTTTCTTCCAGTGATCATCAGTGATCCCCACCAAGTGACACTTTTTTGACATATTTTCTGACATCCTATCTGGTAATATCTGGTATTCACATTTTATCTCACATATTTTCTGAGATCCTTTCTAGCATTCTATTTGGTACATTTTGGTATATTATCTTCGGAAGTTCTTTGTGGTTGAGGTCCGGCGGGCAACGCTCTGATCCGATGCTCGCGCTTGAGGTCTGGGAAAACTGTGATCCGGAGCTTGCGGTGGAGGTCCGGCGGGGGACACTCTGATTTTGAGCTTCCTGTTCGGGTCCAGCAGGAAACACTGCGATCTAGAGGGTCCGGCGGGGATCACTCTGATCCAGAGGTTGCTGTTCGGGTCCGGAGGGGAGCACTGCGATCTAGAGCTTGCAGTTGAGGTCCGGCTGAGGAGAAGGAGGAGGCGGGCCAGCCAACATAAAGTCTAACAACCCTCACCTGACACGTGGTGAAAGCCCCCAACAATTTCGATGTCGTCGTCGTCGTCGTTGTTGTGGTTGTGGTGGTTGTGGTGGTTGTGGTTGTTGTGGTTGTTGTGGTTGTTGTTGTTGTTGTGGTTGTTGTGGTTGTTGTGGTTGTTGTGGTTGTTGTGGTTGTTGTGGTTAATGTGGTTAATGTGGTTAATGTGGTTAATGTGGTTAATGTGGTTCATGTGGTTAATGTGGTTAATGTTGTGGTTGTGGTTGTGGTTGTTGTTGTTGTTGTTGTTGTTGTTGTTGTGGTTGGTGGTTGTTGGTTGTTGGTTGTTGGTTGTTGGTTGGTGGTTGTTGGTTGGTGGTTGTTGGTTGTTGGTTGTTGGTTGTTGGTTGTTGGTTGTTGGTTGTTGGTTGTTGGTTGTTGGTTGTTGGTTGTGGTTGTGGTTGTGGTTGTGGTGGTTGTTGTTGTTGTTGTTGTGGTTGTGGTTGTTGTTGTTGTGGTTGTGGTTGTGGTTGGTTGGTTGGTTGGTTGGTTGGTTGGTTGGTTGGTTGGTTGGTTGGTTGGTTGGTGTTGTTGTTGTTGTTGTTGCTGCTGTTGTTGTTGTTGTTGGTTATTGTTGGTTGTTGTTGGTTGTTGTTGGTTGTTGTTGGTTGTTGTTGGTTGTTGTTGGTTATTGTTGGTTGTTGTTGGTTGTTGTTGGTTGTTGTTGGTTGTTGTTGGTTGTTGTTGGTTGTTGTTGGTTGTTGTTGGTTGTTGTTGGTTGTTGGTTGTTGTAATAGGTTGCGTCTTCGCGTTTTTTGTGACTCTATCGGAGCAAAAAACACCGTAAATACCGCTGTTCTTGTGCCTCGGAAGCCCAAAACCTTGATGTTTTCTGTCCTGACAGCACCTAGCAAAAACACTGGTACCTATGAAACCCCTAAGACTTACACTGTTTTGGGTCTGCTCTTAGGGTTCATGGCGGGGGGCCCTAAAATGAACAGAAATCTCCTGAATAATCAGGTAAGGCGGCTGGGCGTACAAGTATTGGATCGACAAGAAATGCAAGGGCCGGAAAACCCAACAATTCAACTTTTTCTAATAATCACATACAGTGCCTTCACCCACTGAGTGAGTGAAGCGGTACAAGGAAGGCAGATGGTGGAGGATCGATTGTGTGTGAGAGTTGTGTCTGAAAAGTCGCGCGTGAAAGAGTTGAATCTGAAAGACATGAATCTCCTGTTGCGCTTGGTGAAGAATCTGCACCACCAGGTCAGGCATAGCACCAAAGCCACGCATTCCATTGTGAACACCGCCGTATACTCCAGCTGGTAGGGCTCCAGGATGAACACCTCCTCCAAGCCTCATACTCAGTGGCGGTGAAGGTGTCCTCGGCATAGATCCCCTCCTCTGCTCCTCATCAGCCAAAAAGGCTGGCCTTCTCACCTCAGGCATCTCAAAGACGAACTTCTGCTGACCTTCCAGGGCCAACTGCGTCCCACTCGATGCCGAGGCTGGGTCTCCACGAAGAGCTCGGGCTCTAGATATCAGCGGCGCTCTTGCCTCCATCTCCTCCATCTGCTTCATCTGCTCGTCACTGAACAGTGGAAACATGGGGGCAGCGATGTTCGGAGAGGTACCTGGTGGCAGCAAGTGAGATAAAATGAACTCAGAAAGAGATTGACAATGAGTACCGGTCAATGCTGCCGGATGCATAAATCGCAAAGGACATGGATGGATCGATCAGGGAAACGCAGAGCAGGCTGCTGCCATGTAAGTGCGTCATCTTTCCGTCCACAGCACTGCGCGACATGGAAAAGAAATATAAGAAGCAGCGCGCGTAGATCTTCGCATGTTGCGTCAATCTACGTCCCTATTTACATTTATTTCATAGTTTCCGCTTCGCCGGCATAGTGTTTGCCCCAAAAACGGAAGACAATTGCTGCGCCATCAGCTGCTTCACGCATTCCAGTGCAGCTCATTGTATTGACAAAGCAAAGGGCGCCGCGCGAGGAAGAGCCTCTTGATGCCTTCTGGAAGGTCATCTTGCGCTAAGTTGCTCTGCCGTGTTCTGGCCAAGTTCTGCCAGCGTGGGTGTCACCAAGTGCCACGCCGCCACGCCGCCACGCAAGCCAAAAGTCACATTAATCTCGCCAAATACCATGCCCATACTATAATGCCGTAAGTGCGCCTGCCACGCCAAGAGCCTGCCAAGCGCCACAAGTGCCACCCCTCCGCACAAAGCAACGTGAGTGTCACCAATCCCACGCCTGCCAAACAACTTCAACAAATGCCGCACCTGCCAAGCAAAAGCGGCCGGCGCCCATGCCGACCAAGCGCGCCACCAGAGCCAGCCCAGTGCCGTAAGCACCACTCACCAAATGCCACGCCTGCCACGCAAAAGAGCGCGCCACCCATGCCGACCAAGCGCGACACCAAAGCCAAACGAGCAACGCCTGCCACCCAAAAACAGTGTGAGTGTCACCAAGCGCCATGCCTGCCACACAGAAGTGGCGCTGATCTCACCATATGCCACGCCTGCCATGCCAACCAAGCGTGCCACCAGAGCCAGCTCAGCGCCGCAAGTGCCGCGCTCGCCACACCAAAAGCAGCGTGAGTGTCACCAAGTGCCACGCCTGCTTCACAAAAGTGACACTGATTTCACCAATCGCCATGCCTGCCACGCCTGCCAAACAAAAGCAGCGTGAATGTCACGAAGTGCTGCGTCTGCCACACAAAAGAGAGAAAGTTGTCCGTAAGAGAGTTGTGTGTGAAAGAGTTGCGCGTGAGAGAGTTGCATGTGAAAGAGTATGAAGTTGTGCGTGACAAGTGACAAAGCTGTGTGAAAGAGTTGCGTGTGACAAAGTTGTGCGTGAAAGAGTTGTGTGTGTGAGAGAGTATTGTGTGACAAAGTTAGGTGTCAGAGAGTTGTGCGCGAAAGAGCTGTGCGTGAAAGAGTTGTGTGACAAAGCCGTGTGTGACAAAGTTGCGTGTGACAAAGTTGTGTGTGTTTGAAAGAGTTGTGGGGAAACACGCCATAGTATAGCCGCTATAGAATCAAGGTCGCAGGGTAGCGTTTAGCAAGTCAGTAAGAAAGAAGTCATTCTGTAGAAGTGATTTGGTTTAAGATTTGTGCGCCCGTCTGTATTATTCTTTCCTTCCTTCCTTCTTAGCCTCCTTCCCTCCCTCCTTCCTGCATGTCTGGCCCACAGAACAAATCTTAACCAAGTCATCCAAGAAACGCTCCTGTTCCAACCCCTCCCTCTCCGGGAGCCAGATTTTGCTTCCTCCTTCCCTTCCCTACAGTAACACGACAACTCCCTCCTCCCAAAAATCAACATAGCCCCTCCCTGTTTCACAACGACCTTTTTGCATTCTCTTTTCATTATTTTGGGCGAATCCTTTTCCTACAGAAATAAATGTCTCCGATGCCCCTGTTCGAGGGATGGAAACAGCCTACAAGATCAAAAGCTTCCGCAGTAACAATTTGCCAATACCCGAAAAAGCATTCCGAAGACATCCGTGGCCAATAAAGTCAGGCTGAGCCTCTGACAATATGAACCACAGCACATTTCACCCAAGACTGCTCTACGAATCAGAAGGGCCACAGAATTGATATCGGTTGCCACATTGTGTCATCCTGACATCTATATCATTCTAGAATGTTTTACAGGGACGCTAGCGAGAACAGGATTTTACTAGGTGTACTAGATATTCCTATGGCTCGTTGGGGATTCATGCGGAGTGCTCCTTACATTTGGCACCTGTTATCACTGTCTATGATTGTCCACGCGGCTGCTTGGATCTTGTGATTTTTGCAAATATTTCTGACTCTCTCTATACTATGCATGATATACTGATTGAAACAAATTACAGTAGGGGAAGTTCACTCTACATGCATTCTTCAATTTTTACATGCTGAAACAATCTGCAAGTCTAGGCAAGGAACCTATGAAAGGATCCCAGTGAGTCATGCTACTTCTTTTGCAATTTCTTACCGGGAATGCTTTACGACAAGTCTACCATAGGATTTTTTGAATCAGTGTGGAAATCTCAGCAATGGTGGCACTGCGCTCGAGGTCCTAACTTGGGGATACCACCTCCAAAGTGTCACCAGCAGTGCAACCTTAACCGTGCAGGTCTTGTGTGTCTTGTGTGTTGATGATTGGTCCACTTGGCCAGCTCAAGAATTTCCTGCGCTGGAAGTGAAGTGAATACACGCGCAATGTGACAAGAACTCAATTGGCTGGCTTTGTTGATTAAACAGTATACCATTAGAACAGTTTATACATAAACAGCGCCATGCATTGCGGGGTGGTGATAGGAAAGTCAGGCTTGGCGACATTTCATGACATTTCTCAGGTAAACATAGGTAAACAAGCCTTCTCTTTCCAGACAAAACAAGTTGTGACAGATTCGGGCAAGGCTTCCCTTCCAGCCCCTGAGTCCATGGCCTTCGGGGACTCTCACCTGCACTGAAAACCCGCGGAAACTCAGTGTGTTCAGGCTGAAGCTATCTGAAGCTAAGGCCCACCTTGATTTGCATGCAGTTCTTGCTGGAAGAATGCCTGACAAGTAGCTGTGGCTTGGCATTTGTGATGTTTCACTATCTCAATTTGCCTGTGTATTTTGATGTATATATATATATATATTTGATGTATCTTGATGTATCTTGTAGATTTCTTGCACCCTTATACACGGCACTAGAGAGACCTGTCGGCCACACGCACTGAAACTGAAAGTTGAGTCTCTCTGTAAGGATGGGTGGAATTCCAAGAGTATCGACTTGCGAGGTCAGGTCAAGTCGGTGAAGTCAACGTCGAATCTTCCAAGATCTTCCAAGATCTTCCAAGCCCAAAACTCAATTTCTTCTTCTGCCCAGCTTTCCTCCTCATCTTCTGCCTGCAGCTTGCTGAATGGCAGCACCCCAGAGTGCAATTGTATTGGGCGCATGGCAGGGTCGCAAGTTACAACATAAAATGTGGAAAGCAAACTTGGTCAATCACCAGTCACCAGCTGCAAAAGCAAACTTGGTCAATCTTGGCCAAACAGCACAGCATCTACAGCAACCTCATAGTCATCCAAGCTATAGTCGACACGAGCGGTCGAACCAGGCAGCAGCCATGGCAGCTACGGATTGTGGCGGCGCACTTGTAGCATGTTCAATAGAGCATTGCAGAACAGTTGCCGTACATGATTCATGGGCATTGAAGCCCCGTGTCTCTGCTCGTCTGGAATCTGCCAGAGGTTTCGAAACTTGATTCCTAAACAGTTGCTACTGGGGTGGTCTTGCCAGAAAACAAAACAGAAGGAAGATGAAACACAGAGAGTCAACTCAGGCGCCTCCGCTTCTGCAAGCCTCTCTTCCTGATCAATGGAGGCAATCACGAGCTAATCCATGAGCCTAACATATTTCTCCAGCCTTAGCATTGATGATAGCCAAACAATATCCAAAAGGCTGCTACGCAGCTTCTTCGCATATCTTCACTATAGCCATGGATATTGAGTAGCCATATGAGAAGGCCCATGTTGTCCCACGACGCCCCACGGCGAGGCCTCCCTTGCAGCCGCCACTGCTGAAGCCGCGGCCAGCAAATCAGGCCGACTTTGCGGCCTTCGCAAACAAGTCGTCGACAGGTCGTCGACAAGTTTTCGTGACTCTTGTGTCTCTTGTGTCTCTTCGTCTCAGCATCATTCAGCGTCCCTGCGGAGCCTTGGGGAGGAATTTTGTGTTCAGTTCCTTTTCTGTGCCTGTCCTCCTGCCTTATCTTTTGCAAGGGTTTGTATATCTCCAATCTCTGTATTTCTCTGTCTTGCTGGCCTCTTGTTGCCTACTTCCCTTCGGCGTTCGTCTCCAATCGGGGCAAGTTGAAACTATATGAAGCTTTTCATGAACGTCAGTAACCATCCTCAGCCATCATGAACATATATATATATATATATATATTCAGTAACTAGCACATAGAATAGAAATAACAAATAGCCAAAAACAGTTGACGGGAAAACTTGCAGATGGAATTGATTTTGCTGTTTCGTTGCAGTATTGAATATTCTATCTGTTAATCCGTGTATATATATATATATGTACATATGGTTTTCAGAGGCATCAATGATTTTCCAGAATTTTTGATCAAATTCGCCTTTATCACCATTTTTGTATGATTTATCTGCTAAACTATTCAATCTGTTGGTTTCTCCAAGGGTACAGCTATTTCTGTATATTGTCAGTTTGGATCTGTGCACCAACAAAGGATGAACGTGTGAATGAACTGTGACGACTACAATGAACGCATGGAAAAAACAAAAGGAACTGAGTTGTTGCAGTGTGCCAGCACAGCATTGTTGGCTGCTGTTTGGGAATTGTGGAGATGATGTGGGGTCGGGGATTATTCTATCTGTTCAAAACATCTGTAAAACACAGAAAAAATGATGCTTTTGAAGTTGTTTTTCCTAAAATCATATTTTAGGTCTTGAACAATTCTATCTGCCAGTTTACCCAGATATAATTTTTGCCCTATTCTATCTGTTGATTTCGAAATCAATGAAATTTTGAATATTTTATCTGCTTGTGACTTAATATATATATATTTATTAGTGTATATGTAATTAAAACCGATTTGGCACAATTTTTCTCGGGATGGGCTGTAGTTTGAACGAAAACGCGCTCCACTTGAAATCAGTAAAGCACAGCCACGTCAAGCCTTGTTCCACTCACGACAACTGCACGATTCACCTGGCTTCATTGCGTAATTGGATTGACATAAACTGACTAGAATGTATGAACAAACTGTCCATGCATATAAACGCCCTCAATGCAGAATATGTATGAATATGTTACTTCGATGTATTTTGGGAAACATGTACATCTGTCTCCTCTCCATCACAGCACGCACTCCTCTACTTTTGCAACTGTTGAATGCTTTGTGGCAATCTTGCCTAGCCTGTGCTTTTTGAGCTGAGCAGAACTGCGAACTGTCAAGAAGCTAACTCAAAGCCTCTTGCCGAGCTTCTTCCGCTTGTAGGTGTTTCGCAATTGCTGCATCATCCTCTCAAATGCCAACGATTCGGAATGGCTCGAAGCCACATACCCCCAACCATGGAAGGTCAAATACTCAAAATTGGAATCAATTTTGTGGGTGCGTTAGTGCACTATTTTGAATAACAGTTGGCCCCGCAAACTCATTGACTCGCATGTTTTGGTTTGTAGCCGAGTCAAAATCAGCTAAGAGGCAGTCCAGCAAAAGTTTGGCTTGTCCATTCTAGGTTGTGGTGTCAATGCCTGTAAGGGCCATGCGAGTTGATGTTTTTGGGTGGGGGGTGGGGTGGGGTGGGCTACGCGCGTTCATTTGCACTTTCACACATACATCATGTTACTGTGCGTTCTCTTGCGCTTCCACACATACTTCATGCTACGCTAGTGTGCGTTTTCTTGCACTTTCAGACATGCGTCATGCTACACTACTGTGCGTTCTCTTGCACTTCCGCACATGCGCAATGCTACGCTATTGTGTGTTCTCTTGCGCTTTCACACATACGTCCTGCCTGTGTGTTCCCTGATACTTTCAAACATGCGCCATGCTACACTACTGTGTGGTCTCTTGCACTTTCACACATGCGTCACGGTACACTACTGTGGGTTCTCTTGCACTTCCACACATATGTCATGATTCGCTAGTGTGCGTTCTCTTGCACTTCCACAAACGTCATGCCTGTGTGTTTCTTGCACTTTCACATGCGTCATGCTACGCTACCGTGGCGAAAAACCATCACAGGCAACGCCTTCAACAAACGTGGCAAAAGTTGTGGTTAGTTGAAACACAGAAGCGCCAAACTTTTGCAAGAAGGACCGGGATCAAGAAATGACAGTTTCATTCTGGTAAAACACACAAGGAAACCCTTCCACAGAAAATGAAGCACGAATTTGATGAAGGAAACTGAAAACATGCAAAATTAACACAATGGTGGACACTTGACGAATGATAATGTCACTCTCCACTGTCATCACCGGCACGGCCGTAAACTATGTGGGCGTTGCCGTAAACCACATTATTCAACCATGTAAACTATGTAATATGAGCACACTACAGTCTCCAGGGATCCAGCAGAAATACTCTAAAAGAACGGCCATTATTTGGTTTATTTGGTTTCGTTCGTATGAAACCGAAAAAATAGTTATTGGGCATGTCTAGCCTTGCAGTGTCTCAGAGCGTCCCCAAAGAAAATCAACCTAGCCTACAATCCTCGAAGGTCACACCTTAGAGGTGCTTTGATGGCAAAGTGAAGCCGCAGGAGTTGCCTCGTACCAGAACCGTGGCAGCCACTTGATCCAACAAGTCGTTCAGGCCACACTCCCGTGTATATTGTGTATTGTCCTCTGTCTCTTTGAGAAGATCCTCTTGCAGTCGAATGGCCAAAGCCTAGCCGTGGCTATGGAAGAAAAGCAAGGCATTGCCGCATCACCCAGTGGCTGGGGTAAGTTATCCAACTTACCTGCATACTGTGCAGGATTACAAACGTAAGGAAAAAAGGAAGAAAAATGACAAATGGAAACAGGGTGGGAAACCAGTGATGCATAGTGATGCCAGAAACCAATAGAAATCAAAGTGTTGCGCTCACATTTGATTGCAATCCATTGCAATGAATTTTCCGGTCTGACATCAATGCGCATCTCCACAAACCATCAGGGCATGATTTTGGCAAAGGACAGGACAGGATGGGCAAGGGTACTTGGACGCCTCTTGCGCACGCGTATTCAGTGGGTCATAGATTTAGAATGATTCAGAACGGCCCATCGATTTTCGATTATTTAAGAGTATGTGCATATTTCTTTACACGTTCTCTAGAAAATACTAGAAATAGTGCGGATTGGTTGGATCTTGCTAAGTTTGATTGCTGCTGTGGACATTGAGCTGCCGTGCACGGACTGGATCTCTCGCAGGCCTCGTCTTCGGCTTCTTGCACTGATTGCGCACCTGCATCCCTTGCCTCGCAGCATATTTCTAGACAAACTGGAAGAACCTTCAGCAAAGCCACTGCGTGATTGTAGATAGCGTTGATCAAGAGAATGCAACGACATACGAAGACACCTGCTGACTAATCAGACTAAAAATGATGGATAGGAAGTTGCACAGATGCAACCCGTGTTATTTCTGCGCCTATGTCACCTCTTGGACAGCATGGGAGAAACGCAGCCGTTGACGACTTCCAAGCCACAGGAAAAACGTTGAGCCATCAAGGAATTACACAACCCTGTGCTGTCCCAGCTCATCACAGTGTCCATCTGACCCTTGCAAGACAATGTCGAGGTCAGATTTAATTTATCGGATTTATTCGGCTGGTCAAGAGTTGCAAAGACTAGTCAAAGCTATCCCTCCGTGTTTCTTCTCTGCATCTACGCGCCTTCACCACTACGGGTCCTGATTCAAGAAAGTCACGTCTTATCTTAATCAGGACGCCATGTCCAACCTAAAAACAGCACAGAATCACACTATGACAGTTTCACAACATAGTAGGAGAAGTGCCGCTTTCTTTTTAATTTTGTGCCGCTTTCAACAAACACCTTTGTTTTTGATGTGTTGCGGATATTGACTTGCCTACGGAAAAGCAAATGAAAACAATAGTTGAAAACATTTGAAAACATACACACAGCACAAGAACACAACATGACCACTGAAGTGATCAGTTGGGAGTTGAATCCCACTATGCGAAACCAAACATGAACTCGGAGCCTACGTAGAATAAAGAAGGTGTATCCCGATATCCATGAATATATCCGTCCATCACGACCCTGTTCAGAAAATAGTCCAAATCAACTGCAGCTACAATACAATACAACTACGTACAACTACAACCAGTACGACTACACTACAATACAACTACAACTGCAACTACAATTACATTGCGCTACACTACAACACACTACATTCAGCAGTTGTGGTTGAGGTGACCACTGCAACCTGTCCAAAAAGCAGAACTCCAACCACTTTTCGGTCCGAATCACAACAACTCACCTCTCCTATAGTGTCCTATCTTTGAAACTTCCGTCACCACCTTGTACGGTACTCCTGGTACCAGACTATTTTGCATAGACTGGGCCCAAAAGCATCTAGGGGGATATACACCGGGGATTGAAAAGGAATGACTTTGAATGTTTCGGTATGGAAGCATATTTTTGATTGGAATGTAGGAATTTTTGAATAAAAAAGCAGTTTATTGAATTGCAGCCATGATGTGATGAGTAGCCCTTCTGATGACTAACCCTGGGCCCATAAATGACTCTTAAAGGGGCATCTGCCCTTTATAAAATTCTTCGCCATTTCTAAAGCTCCAGCAAAAAAGATATTTTTCCAAAACCATTTGGGGAGACATGTTCCTATAATGTGCATAGTGAAACATGTTGTGGCCATGCTTTGAAGGGAACCAATGTTTCATAAAATACATTGCCGCATATATTGAGTTGTTTCCTTGTGGGAGAGCAGCCGGGTATAAACCCCAAACCCAACGTTGTACAAGGTTATCTTGGTGGATCCAGGGCATGTCTTTTGCGCAGAAACGCGGCTTTATCCCCCTAAAGCGGCGACCGGAATCCCACTTTATAGATGCAAAGGATATCCACTTATAGGGAGCTATACAGAGGGTTAAATATTGTATATACAGCACACTGCACTAATTTCCCGCTGGCCGAAGGGAGCCTGTGCCGCTGCGCTGGTGCTTTCAGGGTCTAACGCCTTTGCCTGTTGCGCAAGTTGCAACTTAAATTATGGACCCATCAGCGAAGATTGCTTTTGCAAGAAGAAGGCATCGGCAAATTCAGATCATGCACTGCACAACGCACTATTTCTCGGATTTTCTTTCCAATGAACTTGACTAAGTCGGCGGCTAAATGCTTTCGAGCCGGTTTCTGCTTCAGCCGTTGATGGAGCCTTTGTGCTTGGAAAGGGTGGGTTCAGGATGGCATTGTGGTGCAAAACACAAGTCGCCGATTCTGGTCTTTTTGAGTTGCGGCGGAATACATTCGCACACTACAAACTGTGATCATCGCAGCTCCATTTCATCCCGGTTCCGAAGTATTGCAACCCTGAAGACACGCGCTTGCAGGAATGCTTGCCGCTTGAGGAAAACAAAGTTGCTGGCAAATCCATATCTCGGTCAAAGCGGTCTGGCCTTGGTTGAGCTGGCACCGGGAAAAAAGTGAAAAGCAAAGCGCATTCTTTGACCGTCAGACATGTGGAGACTTCCGCATACTGTTGCTAATTCTTGTGACTTTGCACGATGCGGACTTTTTTTGGTGTTTTCTATTTCTATTATTTCTACATTATTTTGGCTTATTTTAGCTCGAATCCAGTTGAGTTTCCTCTCGAATCCAAATGGGGTGCCCTGTCAAGTGCTCGTGAGAGATTGCCTGCGACTTCAACAAATGTTCAGTGAATTTCAGTGAGACGTTTCGCTTTTGGGCCGCAAGCACCACTTGGTCTTTTTGCGGTTCTTCAGCGCTGTCCTGCAAGGATAGAAACTGTGCTCCAAACATCTCCAAGCCACATTAAAGCGCAGTGAAACGATGTGAAGCGTGTCACCGCCATGTAATTACTTCAGTGACGCGGTGGGGCAGACACAGCCTGGGTGAGCTACGTGAGCATGCTAAGGTGGTGGTACACGGCGATGCAGGTCTGTACTCTCTTTGTCATGTTATGACTGCTATGACAAGACATGACAAGGCTGTTTTTCCCATGCTGCTTTGCATACTGGAACACTTGCTCTAACATAATTTGCAAAGTTCAATCTCAATGTTTTTACAAAAACCTGGGGAACTTGAAAGTAATACAGTACGAGTAAGTAAGTGTAATCCACTCCTTAGGTAAAAATAGTTCCAACAATTGAAGTTGAATGATTTCATGATTCATGATTCATGCGTGAAAGCTTTTCGCAGTCCTCACCGCTGTCAGGATCCTGAACCAGCACTCGTTTCTTCAACTCTGACTTGACTTGTAAACCTCTGTGAGTTTATGAGAAGTGGACGGACTCCCAAAAATATCCAAAAGTCAGTGACTCAAAGAACAAAAATGGTGACTTTGTCGAAAGCACTACAGCATGACCTCCGTCAGCGTGACAGTGTTCTCGCACAACAACTTGATACAGCTGCGACATGTGGCTCTTGATGTATCATGATTTATCTTTTGCTATCTGGAAACCGCCATTCTCGCAAAATAAACTGTTACTTTCAATCTTTCCTGAACTCCTGCGAAGTCCAAAAGTCACAGCGTGGGGCAACAGTGTCTTCTCTCAAGACAAAATTGGATTTAACAAATTTACTCATTAACAAATTTAACAAATTTACCAATTTATCATAATTGGATGGTTTCATGGTCGCCTGGTATTGCGGGCGAGGTGAGTCCTGGTGGTGTCCCGGTGGTGGTGCATGCGTGTCCCGGGTTCTGATCTGTGGGGTGATGTCAGCTAAGGTGTAGTGATGTGGTGGTGGTTGTTGTCCCGGCTGATCAGAGTGTCACAGCGAAACTAAAGATTGATCCCCTCTGACCTTTGCAAGACGCTGTTGAGGTCAAATTTATCCGGCCGTTAGCCTAGTCAGCGCTATCCCTCAGTGTTTCTGCTCTGCATTTATGGGACCTGCTGCTTAGCTCAATCAGGATGCAATGTCCAACTAAAAACAGCACAGAATCACACTATGACAGTTTCACGACATAGAAGGATAAGTGCCGCTTTCCTTTTAATTTTGCGTCGCTTTGAAACACCTTATGATGTGTGCCTGCTGCTATTGACTTGCCTACGCTAAAGCACATACAAAACACACACACACACGCACACGCAATGACACACACGCACACACGCATATGTGTGCACGTATATAAATATGTATATATATATATATGTATCAATATATATATATGTGTGTGTACACATCTATGTAAAATTTCTGCTGTTTCAGGAATTTCTGTTTTTTTTTGTATTGGTGGAACTTTGTGCCTAGGAACAGTATGATTAACTGAGTTTGTATGAATAGCGTCATGGAAAGAGGCCGAAGCGGTTTTATGGCAATCAGGATTGTATAGATATAATGATGCGGGAATCTTTTAGTAGTCAAATCACAAACACAGCCCTCGATGAAGCTCTGTGTGGACATGTTTCTTCTCCAACAATGGTGGGGATTGCCAAGAGCCTAGATGCGTTTTTTCAAAAAAACGGCCGGAACAAAAACGGTTCAAAAAACCGTTGAAACGGCGTAAAAACCCGCTGAAACGACGTAAAATAGCGTAGGAAATAGCATAAACAAAACATATGATTTTGGTACTTTCAGAGTCGCGTCTAGAGCCATGGTTTTGCACTTGTGACTGGATGAATGCTCTTGGATGATCCGATGTTTTTCCACTGAGAGTGGTTAGCTTTCATCAATGAGCTTCCTCCAAGACTGGAGACCAATCCTACTTGGGGTGCAGCACTTGGGTTTTTCCTGGAAATGGCGTCGGTCAAAGCTTGAGCCCTCCATACATGGTATTGCCCGAAGATCCTGATGTGTTTTTCTGTATGTGCGCATTCTCGTTGGAGGTAGCGCGAGTCTTTTCCCTGAAACGACAATTTTTCAATGAAGCAGCGTAAAATAATTGCATGCCAGAAACCGCCAGAAATTTTGCATTTTGCAGGTATATGTGTATATACTATGTATATATATATATATGTGTGTAAAATACAAAGAGTTTTAAGCACTAATTTCCTGCTGGCCGAAGGGAGCCTGTGCCGCTGCGCTGGTGCTTTCAGGGTCCAACGCCTTTGCCTGTCGCGCAAGTTGCAACTGAGAATATGGACCCATCAGCGAAGACATGCTTCTGCAAGAAGAAAGCATCGGCATTGCTGACCACAACAAAGACTCACATTCTCAGACTGGACCAAAGTTCTTGGAAGAGATTTTCTACCAAATGTTCAGTCTGCTCAAAGGACCCGAAGAGAAACCAAAATTCAGACCATGCACTGCACCCACTATTTCTCGGATTTTCTTTCCAATGAACTTGACTAAGTCGGCGGCTAAATGCTTTGGAGCCGGTTTCTGCTTCAGCTGTTGATGGAGCCTTTGTAGCCGAGAGGCAGGATTACTTTTGCGATCGTTGCAAGACAACCGGTCCTTCTGTATTCTTTTGCATGGTGCATGTTGAGGGAGGTGTCCACCCGCTGTGTCGGAACGTGTTTGATGATGCTTGGTACACCTGAACTTGGCAAGCTTTGGGCCGTTGTCCGCACTCTCTTGCAGTGACTCTCTTTCTCTTGAGCTGGCTGACAAGCACATGTCTCGATCGAAGCGGTCAGGCCTGGGAAGACACTAAAAGTCAAGACACTGAGGACACATTATATATCAAGATTCATTTGGTAAGAGCAGAAGTGGTTGCCATGTTGAGACGTGACAGTTTCAGTCCTGCTATAATCTTTGATGCACTTGCTTTTCCTAAACATGGAAATAAAAAAACTATGGCATTCGTGACATAGTCCGTCATTTGTGTGGCCTACGTGTATGTATAAGAATTTTCTATGCTACTGACGGGTACTGGTGTGAATCTACGACAAGAACAAAAACAAAATCTTGCAAAATGCTGAAGGATGCATGCTGCCGTGACAGATATTGGGCACCGCACACCACGTGGTCTTTTTGAGCTTCCTCAGCACTGTCCTTGCATGGCCAAAAACTAACATCCTCAACTCAGCGGGCCAACGTCGCCACAGACTATGCGGTGCGACATGCAATCAAATACAGAATGCTCAATGGCAAGATAGATGAAAGCGATGCGCCAAGGATGTTTGAAATGTGCAGAGAGCCAAAATTCAAAAAACTTCTGTGACATGTTGCAGTAGAACGTCTGTGAAACGTATGTTTTGCCACAAGTAAAGTAGAATGCATGCAACATGTGATCTTTCAGCTAGTCCTCACCGCTGTCGGAATCCTCGGCGGGCAGTTGTCTCAAATTTCGCAGGCACGAGCATGCGCCTTTCTTGGTTCAGGCCGAAAGAGCAAAAACACAGCAAACAGGAAAACGCAGCCTATAGGACCGTGGCAACTGCCGCTGAGGGTGGATTTCAGAAACATCTGAGACATTCTGAGATTTCTAGGCAGTAACAGAAAGATGGAGCGAACCAGGAAACCCAAACGACAAAGTATGCTGGAATATGCCAGAGCACTGGTTTGACCTGGTAACGCGAACCCATCAAAACGACATATTGCTTATACGCTCTTTTGTGGAGTAGCTACGCTAACATGTTCTATATTAAACGGTCTAAAGGGAATGAAACAAAATCTGCTTCTCATGAAAACAAACCATGGGTGCGACTGGCGCATGTGAAAAACCTCGGCCCAACGATCTGAGCCAAACTATTAGTCATCTATAGTCATCTGTAATGGTTTTCAATGGTTTTCATGCGCGCGCTCGCCAGATCGCTGACTCTCGGACATTGTTCGTTCCATTTCGTTCTTGTAAAACAACATAGAACCTGTATAAATACGCATCGTTGTCATTCGTTGTCTGGGGGATGTGGGGTAGGTCTCATATCTTATCAAACTGATGACGGAATCTGATTAAGGAAGTGTCCCTGAACCATCGGAGTTTTGGAACTGAGTTTCCCGAAATAACAAATGGGAGCCAGGACTGAAGGCGCCGAAATCCAGATATAAACAGGTGAACAGTGGGAGCGCCCGACGTGACATGCTACCATGCAGGTTGGTGCGTAGACAGATGTAGACAGGTGCTTGAGTTGAGCTGGGGCCACAAAATGAAACCAACATTCATGAATTCATTGACGATCACCTGTCACAATTGGAGCGGGTTGAAGGATTCCAATAATTAGGTTGATGGCTGGTGGATCGAAAAATACTTCATTTTTCTCGAATGTAGCGAAGGGTTCTCGTTTATCTTTAGGGGTCTGGGGGTGGAGGTGTGTTCGCTCGAAGCGGTTTTTTCGTGTGCAACCGTTCCCCCTGGCACCGTCCGCAATGCGGGCCATATGGCCGTACCGTTGGCGATTGCTGCAAAAGTCGCCCCTTTTGGAGGCTTGAAAAGCGTGTGATGTTGTTTTGCGGCAGGCACTTCGTGACATTCCGACGTATTTCATAAGTGTGTGACAGGAGCAGGATTCATAGAATGATTTTAGTTTTTGGTGGCCGGCGCAGTACTTTAGAGATGTTCACTTTCTACACTCTACACGCCGCACTCTACATTCCACACTGCTAACTCCCTCACAGTCCACACATCTCCATACTCTACACGCCGCAATTCACACTTCACACGCCACACTTTACACTCCACGCTCCACACTCTACATTCTACACTCCACGCTCCCCACTTGCTTCACACTCCACACTCTACACCCCGCACTTCACACTCCACACTCCCCACTCCCAACTTGACACCCCACGCTCTACATCTACACTCCAAACTCCACACCCTACACTCCACACTGCGCGCTCTACACTCCACACTTCGCACTCCAACATTCACATGCACGCACACACACACACCCACACGCACACGCACACACCACACACTCTACACTTTACGCCGCGCTACACTCCGCACTCCACACTCTGCCAGGCCCCCGCTCCACAGGCTACAATGGTATGGTATATGGGCAAAAAATTACACGAGTGTTGCAATAATAACCTGTTTCGAAGAAGTGGTTTACGTGATGTGCATTCGGATTTGTGGGTTTCTAGATTTTAACGAAGTGAGGGTCGCCAGATTTTAATAAAAAGTGCAACTCCTTCCTTCCCCTTCCTTCCTCCGCCCCTTGCTTCCTGTGGGCATTTGATGGACCCGAACCGAACACCATATTGCAAGCTCCGGATGCTGTGGGGCACGCGTGGACCTGAACACGATACCGCCAGCTCCCGATGCTGTGGGGCACCCGAACCCTATCGCTAGCTCCGGATACAGCTGGGTACCCATGGACCGGAACATATGACATATGCCAGAAAGAATGCCATTTAGAATTTCAGAATATATGTCAGATAAAATGCCACATAGAATATGAGAAAATATGTCACATAAAATGTCAGATAGAATGCCAAATAGAAATGTCAGAATATATGTCAGATAAAATGCCAACTAGAATGTGAGAAAATATGTCAAATAACATGTCAGATAGAATGACAGATGCCAGATAGAAATGTCAGAAAATATGCCAGATAAAATGCCAGAAAGAATGCCAGATAGACTGTCAAAATATATATATCAGACAAAATATAAAGGCAGTAATTTATTTCTTGTGATTCTTATGCAAATGTTTGGGTGTTCATTCCTAGTCGAAAAGCTGAACCCAAACCGGTTGGCCTTGACTTGTCGCAATCATTGTAGAATCATTGTGAATGTAGGAGAAGTGAGGCTGGTTGATCCTCGAAGTCAAGATGAAAGGGTGTTTTTGTAAATCGCTGCGAGAAGAAAGGAGTGCCAGGGGTTGCACGCATGTTATGGCGAGTTGGTAGCTAGGCCAGAATATGCTACAGTAAAAAATGCAGTATGGAAAGCCTCAGGGGATGGATGCGGAGAGATCAAACAGATGTGCTGTTGAATGACAGCACCTCATGAACCTACGCGCCAGAAAGGGAAGTGCAACATTGCTGCAAGCGAAAATCTCAGGCCGCATCTCTATCACAAGCAACGTGCGTCTCACACCAAAATGACCCTGCAGCTGCTTGCCATAGGTTTTCCAAGGACACCCACTGTATAGACACCTTTCCTCCACTTCTATGCTACAGCATCTATGCTTTGTGAAGCTTCCGGTGTCTTGTTTGTGCGGGATACTTGTATTGTTGTCACTTTTCACTGTCAACCTCTGAGAGGGCGACGCGAGACTCGTTGACCACGCTGCTCCCTTTGGGGAGGACGCCTCCAACCTTTGCAACTTGATGGAAGGCATTTGAAGTGGGACTATTCGACTTGTGTTGCCACTGTCTCTGGTTCAGTCAGTCGCTACCATACAGCAGCATCACCGTGTGCTCCCTGAGGATTTTTTGCGTCTTGAAATGTCTTGGATCTAGTGCAGTTTAGTTGAGCTCATGTGACGAGAGTAAAGATTATATAACTGCCTTTCCCCACAACTTTGTGTGGGGTTCTTCTTTTTGTTTCCGTATCCCGCGCCTCCTCCTCCGCCGCCTCCCGCGCCATCCCCAACCATCTTTCACACACAACTTTGTCACACACCATCTCTCCCACAGAGCTGTGCACCATCTCTCACGCACACAACTTTGTCACACACCACTTTGTCAAACACAACTTCGTCACACACCATGTTTCACACATAACTTTGTCACACGCCATCTCTCACACACAACTGTGCACCATGTCTCACACACACACACAACTTGGTCACACACACCATCAATCACAAACAACTTTGTCACACACAACTGTGTCACACACACAACTTTGTCACACACCATCTTTCAGACACAACTTTGTCACACACCATCTCTCACACACACAACTTTGTTATACACCACTTTGTCACACACAACTTCGTCACACACCATCTTTCAGACACAACTTTGTCACACACCATCTCTCACACACAACTTTGTCACACACCACTTTGTCACACACAACTTCGTCACACACCATCTTTCACACACACAACTTTGTCGCACACCATCTTTCACATACACAACTTCGTCACACACCATCTTTCACAAACACAACTTTGTGACCCACAACTTCTTCACACACACACACAACTTGCTCACAGACAACTTTGTCACACACCATTGTCGACCTGCTTGCTCACATCTATGCGCTTGGCGACATCCACCTTCGTTCGGCGTGGCAAGCGGGGCACTTATGACACTGGGCTGGGTCTGGTGGCGCGCATGGTCGCCGTTGGTCGCCCCCGGCGGCACTTTGCGGGGCAGGCGTGGCGCTTGGCGACGTCCACCTGCACTTTGCCTGGCAGGCATGGCATTAGGCGGCATGGACATAGCATTTGCGTGGCGCGCCATGCAACTTCTCTCTCACATGCAACTTCTCTCTCACACACATCTTTGTCACATGCAACTTTGTCACACACAACTCTTTCACACACAACTTCATACAACTTTGCCACAGACAATCTTTCACACACAACTTTGTCACACACCATCTATCACAAACACAACTTTGTCACACACACACAAACAATCTTTCACACACAGCTTTGTCACAAACAACTTTGTCATACACAACTCTTTCACTCACAACCTTTCACACGCAACTCTTTCACACACAACTTTGTCACAAACAATCTTTGTCACATGCAACTTTGTCACACAAAACTCTTTCACACACAACTTCATACAACTTTGTCACAAACAATCTTTCACACACAACTTTGTCACACACCATCGTTCACAAACACAGCTTTGTCATACACAACTCTTTCACTCACAACCTTTCACACGCAACTCTTTCACACACAACTTTGTCACAAACAATCTTTGTCACATGCAACTTTTGTCACACACAACTCTTTCACACACAACTTCATACAACTTTGTCACAGACAATCTTTCACACACAACTTTGTCACAAACAACGTTGTCATACACAACTCTTTCACTCACAACCTTTCACACGCAACTCTTTCACACACAACTTTGTCACAGACAATCTTTGTCACATGCAACTTTTAAAATGATTGGTCCTCCACCATCTCCTTTGTTTCTTCTTCTTTATCCGTGCCGCTTCAAACACTTTTTCTGATATTTGGAAGAAGCTGACTTGTGGGGTTATCCAGTCAGTCCTTTAATTTTTGATGTTTTTTGGAAACGGGTTTTGATTGCCCATGGATAGCCAAACTTTCACAACAATGAAGCCGAACCGAAAGTTGGATCAGTAAGGTTTGGAAGTTTTCAATAAAGTGTTGGTTGGTCGGTTTGTAGCTACTCCATCTTCTTGTAGTTTCACTCATTTTGAATTGTAGTAAAGGCACAACAATCAGAGCCTCGAAAATCTGGAACCGCAGACTCAAATGTATGTATATATATATATATATCTATCTATCTAATCTTAGTCTATAGTAAATATGTATGTATATAGGCAACATGTGTACTATATAATTTATAGATACGCAGATATATATTTATATAAATACACGTATATATATATATATAAAATACACGTGTATATATATATATAAACACATAAGCAGAAGAGCATCAAATCTATAATATATTATAGTATCATAGTTGCTTTGGCAGGTTGACATCTCTAAAAAACTCTGTAACATATAAACCCACAATCATTCTGAAAAAAACTGCACCCTGACAAGCGGCCACAAAGAAGGCTGAGACATGCAGTCGTTAGGCTGAGGACATGCGATTCCAAAGTCGGGATTGTTCATGCCCGATTCCAAAATACATCAAAATACTTTCCATCCTCACTTGCCTTGTGCATGTTGATTTTTTTTGCACCAGTCTGCGACTTCCCTCTAGATTTACAAGTGCGCGCGCTGCCAAGCAAAGAAACTAAATCAGCGAAAACATGTGAAAACAAACTAGCGCCCTCCAGATAAGCCAACCGGTTTAAACTTCAGGCGGCGCGGTCATCTGGCCTCCTCACAGGGGTAACCATCTGCTTTCACCATCTGCTGTCACCACCTGCTTGCGGGCGGGTGATTCATGACATTCACGCATCCAAGCGGTGAGCGGCATCATGTGCTGCAAACTGGGTGCTTTCACAACACTAACACTCACACACACACAGACATACAAATTGTCATGCATATTTGTCTGCGCACACCAAATCAAGAGGCAATGTCATGCAATGTCAATGAATGCTGAACTTGCATCAACTTGCTGCTGTGCAAACCAGGGCAGTATAGACGGCTGGGTTGCCAGTAGAGACTGGAACACCATGGAACATCCGTGTTTCCACCGCTGTGCAGCCTCTTCAAATAAACGCCGCTTTAGATTACACGCGTGCCCCAGACACACACACATGCACAAGTACAAACTTTAATAGACATGCTGACACGACCTTTTGCGTCTGCTTTTGAACCTTCATCGCCGGCATGTTACAGTTTGTAAAATTGCAGGTGGAAATGAGCACATGCGCCAGCGCATGCGTCAATGCGCGTCGTACAATCGCTCACACAAATTGAATTTCCCAGCCTGCCTGCTCTTTTGCTGCAAAGTAGTTGTGACATGTTGAGGTAGTATTTGCTGGGCGCATGTTTTTTTTCCCTTCTTGGTTGGTTCATGCCAAGATCCACCCCTCACATTGTTCTTGAATGCAGGTGCAACATTGATGGCATGCAGTTGATGTGGAGAATCCAACAAGAAACAAACATTAACATGTTGTTGTTGAGGATGATGACGACGATGACGACGATGATATAACATGAAATAACTATAAATAACTGACTTTGCTGAAAATGAAGAGGATGAAAGCTATGGGCTTGATGTGTGCCAAAAAACCGCCTCCAAGAATGGAAACCATGCCAGGCCAAAGAAAGGGGTCAAACCATGAAACAACCTCTTCGGACCGATAGTGGTCATGATGGCGATGGAGATGGGGATGAGGATGATGAGGATAATGAGGATGATGACGACGATGATGATGATGACGATGATGATGATGAATGTGATGATGAATGTGATGATGAATGTGATGGTGACGGTGACGGTGATGGTGTGGTGATGACACGGGCAACAATACGTGGGATGACGGCCAAGCTATGAGGATGAGAGCGAGGATGCAGGATGAGAACGAGGATGTGGAGGGCGATGACGGAAGTGAGGAGGGGAATGCAAGATGCTGTAAACAAAATATCGCCCCAAAAATGGAAACCATGGATCGTCAAAGAACAGCAGAATCTCCATGCAGCAATTTCTTCGAACCTTGACCAATTTGCGCATGACAAGTTTAGCCGTTTAGGCCCCCAAATGAATCCCTTTCTCCTTGTCCCTGTTCTGTGCCAGAAGCAACATGTGCCAACTGTTGCCGGCAATTAAATGACTCCTAGGTTTGCACGCACAAGTACAAGTGGCCGCAGCCGCAGCAGCTGCACAGCAGCTGTGAGCAAATCCTGAGCTCACAAGCCCCCCAAACAGACAAGATCAAACAAAACAATAAAAAAAAACAATTCCATTTTTGCGTTTTTTCCCCTAACTTTGTTTGATTGTTTCTGATTTTTCTTTTGTCTGATTGGTTTTGATTTTGTTGTTTCTCTTTCTGGCATTCTTTAAATTTGTTCCGTTTTTTTTTAAACTCCGACTCTCCCAGCACCTATTTGATTTTTTTGAAGTTTTTCCCAGTATGTTTTTGCTCTCTTGCCAATTTTCGAGCCTTTCCCTTGGCTTGCCACTAACCTGCCAAACCCCTCCTCTCACAACATCATGTTTTTCTAATGATGCAAACACAAAGGACCGTGCTGAGCACATGTGGTCCATACTGAATTGGTCTACACATATTTTGAAAGGACAGTTGTTCCAATACTGAATTGGTTACGATGGAAGCATTTGATCTCAAATGTCATCATAATGTCATCATATCATATCATTTTACCAGTAGTACCGCACAAGGCGGTGGCGGAAGTTTCAAAAATAGGAAACCTATAGGAGAGGTTGGTTGCTGTGAATCACGGATGGCAGAGCGAATCCACTGATGGACCGAAAGGTGGTTGAGGTCTCCTCTCTTTCTCTCTCTCTCTCTCTTTCTCTGACTGTCTACCTACCTACCTACCTACCTACCTACCTACCGACTTACCTATCTATCTATCGATCGATCGATCTATCTATCTATATATATATATCTCTCTCTCTCCTTCATCTAATTACCTATCTATCTATCTGTCTATCTGTCTATCTATCTGTCTATCTATCTATCTATCTTATCTTATCTTATCTTATCTTATCTTTCTATCTATCGATCGATGTATCTATCTATCCATCCATCCATCTATCTATCCATCCATCTATCTATCTCTCTCTGTCTGTCTGTCTATCTGTCTATCTGCAAGCTTGAAAACGAAGCGATTCTGCGAGACTGCCTGAGTTTTGAAACTTGACAACATCAAAAACGCAGCAACTCAGCGAGACTTCCTCAATTTTTGCACTTGACAACATCAAAAACGAAGCAATTCAGCGAGACTTCCTCATCTTTTTAAGTTGACAACATCAATTCTGCGAGACATCCTTCAAAAATTGAAAGTTGATGCAGAGCTGACAGCCCCGTACCATTGCGTTTTTTCCACTCCACCTGTCTAAAGTATTGCGCCTGCCATGAAAAAGTGATGCCAGGTCATACGAAGTGCTGCACCTGTCACGCAAAATCATCTCAGCAAACCTGAAGATCTGATGCTCCAAAACGCAACCCCTCTCAGGAAATCAGCGCCCTGACGAACATGTCTTTTGTACTGCGCCTGCCACGCGAAATGCATCTTTGCAGATCCTCTTCAAATCCCCCACGCCTGCCATGGTTTTTGGAAATGCGACAAAACCCCCACGTTTTGCTCACTTTTGACAAGGTGCACAGTCCCTTACGCCTGCCACGCGAAACGACATCTGAACCTCCAAAAGTGGCGCGAGCATGTGGTGTTTTGTACATTGTGACTTCGAAATGTGCTTCGCGCCACAACGGCGTGCACTTTTTCATCTCTCATCTGGCCAGATGGCTCTGCACCCGCCGCTTTAGCGAGCCTACTTTTCGACCCTCCGGAGCCACAAATCATTGGAAAAACACAGTGTTTCGCAACTTTCCTACCTTTTCGCGCATCTGCATCTTCTTTCTTCTGACCCTTTCGCTTCTCTGATCTGCTCTCTTCTACTCTTCTCTTCTCTCTGCCTCTGCCCAGCTCTGCTTTTCATCTGTCCATATTGTCGGAAGGTTGACTTCTAAACTTCATTCGATCGTTCTTTCCTCTGTTGAACTTGTGAGGTGCAATCCACTTCAGAGAAGTGGAAAGTCTGGGTTGAAAGAGGTTGCCAAACACTTGTCTTGCAATGTAACCGTATCAAGCCTGCAACTAAGCTGTCAAGAAAGCGAATGTCTGTTTCCTGCGGGGTTTTTGGTCAACAACTTGCCGGGCCTGAACCTGCGGGAAGGACATTGGCCTCCCTGGTAGAGTCTCATACAGGAAAGGGCTGTTGCGGAGAGCAATGGCACCCTTTATTCATGATATTTGTCTGCTTCCAAAGAGGTCATGGCACAAGGATGCAAAAGGGTAGGTTACTCAATATCTGTGTTCGGTCATTGCTGCCAAGTCGTTCTCTACTTCAAAAAATCTATTCATCTACTGTGTATCACCTATCCATCCATCTATCTTTGAAAGAAGTCGAGTCACATCACTGCTTGTGAATTCAAATTGACGGCAGACTTGTGTCTCTACATCTGTCAAATTGTGTGAACACTGCATTGGACATGTTATTCTTGTGGAGTCTTGAAAGGGAAAGTAGCATTAGCGTGGCGAGCGAACATGAGTGAACGTGTAGAGCCAAAAGGATCTGCCAGCTAGCAATCCATCTCAACCTGTGAGAGAACGTTCACTGGAGAGGGACAGTGAACATCAGTGAACAAGATATCACATATCGATAAAATTCAATACTACAATTCTGCAAACTGCAACACAATAGAACACAATATAACATAATATAACACAATATTCTACAGTACAAGTATGGGTTCACTGTGGTTCAAGATGTCGGTTGACCATAGCAGACCTGGGAGTAAACTACCTTATAAATCCTTCGCGACATTGGCATTTGTGATCACTGGTGGGAGATACAAATCTCTCTCTTGGTGATCAAACGCAAGTACAATCATCTCGTATATATTTTTGGACTACACGATACAGAATGCTTCAAGACGCTTTGCTGGAAGTGTCAGTGACACTTGATTCCCGTCAGGTATGAAAGTCTTCAAACGGAATATTTCACAATCAATACCTACACATGGTTCAACTTCATCCGAACGGTTGACAAACTGGCAACAAGGCAACAAAACAAGCAATCACAGAGTACGTTGTACGATGTCGATCGATGTCGATCGATGTCGTATGATGTCTTATGCGCCCTGGAGACTAGCTGTTCCCTCAAAATTATCCTTTTGAGCCCCTACTGCACCAGTCAACTCACGAAATGCAACTCGGCGGATGTTGTTTCTGTCTCTCCTGCTGCTGCTTTCAAGACGGTGCAAAGCAATGAGAACTCCTCTGAGTCCAAGAAGCTTACCCACGCAATGCAGAAAGAAAGGCTTCAATGCAACCCACAGCCTGTGCTCCACAACGGTCTTCACACTTGGCCACCCAGTATGTTTCAAGTTGCCCTTGTTTCAATGATTTGCGCATTTCGCTAATCTGCGCATTCCACTATTTGAAAGGGTCAGCGCAGGCTTGCGCCTGCCTTGCGCAAGCGGTTGCCGCAGGCTGAGAGCTGAAGATCTTCAGAAGTCTGCAAACTGTCTCGGATAGTTTCAAAATCGCAGCAGATCTGCTTTAGGAGTTTGAAGTCCATGATATTTGGGATGGCCACAAAGCCGTCAGAATCTGCGAGAGAACGGAGGTACTCATCCTTCGACCAGTTCAGATCACTGAAATAGTACTCCACCTTGCTCGAGAGAAGAGATAATGAATAATGTCCAGAAAATGCACATCCCATTTACATCTATGTACGATTTCAACAAAAATTGAGAAACCATGAAACCTGTTGCCATACCAGGCCATACCATGCCATGCCCGGTATTCCCGTCTGGCCATCTTGGCGGCTTTTGGACAGTCTGGGTTCCGACCTGCTTTCGGATTGCCTTGCGGAGGGTCTTCAACTTGCGATTGACGAAGTCTTCTGGCTGCTGTCCTTTTGGAACCTCCAGTTCACCTGCGCTCGAAAGACGTGATAAATATGACTATGTGACTTATATAATAATAATCATTAACAATCATTGACTCCAAGTCATCCGCCGGAGGAAATCCGAATATACAGAGAGGGAGCAAACGTGCATCATTTTGCTTTTCGAAAACGCAGTCACTTGCAGCGACTTGCAGCCACTTGCTGCCGCTTGCTCATGCAGCCACTTGCAGCCACTTGCAGCTGCTTGGGCAACTGGCTGCAAGTGGCTGCAAGTGGCTGCAAGTGGCTGCTTGGGCAGGTGGCTGCAAGTGGCTGCTTGGGCAGGTGGCTGCAAGTGGCTGCAAGTGGCTGCAAGTGGCTGCAAGCGACTCGTAGCGACTCGTGCCATTTGCCGCCATCTGCAGCGACTCGTAGCCACTTGCCGCCACGTGCCATTTTGAAAAAAAAGTGATTTTGTAGATTTTACATTTTTTTTTCAAGATTGTCTGTAGTAGATTGCTAGCAGCCATGCACCAGCAGCTACCCGCACCGATTGAAACATAGGTATAAAGGCTGTTTCGGAGAAAAAAACAAAGGGCTAGATTGTTTGTATTTGAGGGCCAGCGCTCACTTGCAGCCAGCCAACTTACGACTACCTGTTTAGATTTTTTTGTGGGTTGTTTAATGATGGTTTACATTTGTAGGTGATTAACAAGAGTGGTTTGTAAATCGCCGTTTCGCGGGTCATAACATCTTTGAGTGTGTTATAGACTTATATTTTTGGTTATTGAGCATTTCATCATTGATGTACAGGGTATATTTTAACTGGTGGAGGTTCGAATTCCATCGCCATACCTATATCAAAATTTATAAACCAGGCCCTGCGGGTTTTGAAGTCGACCATCAATAGATTGGTTCAAGGAAAAATAACCATCTTAACCAGAATCTTAATCTTGTTTTTGCTGTTGTGGTTCTTGTTTTTGTCCGGCAAGGACGAGAACTTGCAGCGTATCATCCAACATGTCTGAAGGTTGGGGACAAGACCTGACAGCGTAGCACCCAAGATGATTGAAAGTTAAGGACAGGTCTTACAGCGTGTCATCCAAGATGGTTGAAAGTTAAGGAGAAGGCCTGTCAGCATAGCATCAAACATGTTTGAAAGTTAAGGACAGAATCTTACACCGTAACATCCAAGATGCTGGATAACATCAAGCATGTTTGGAACTTAAGGGCACGACCTGGCACCGTAGCATCAAAGGTGTTTGAAGATTAAGGGCAAGGTCTTACAGCGTGGCATCCAAGATTCAAGTTGTTTGTAATTCAAGGACAAGGTCTTAGGGCATATCATCCAAGATGTTCAAAGTTAAAGTCTTACCCCATAGCAACCACAATCATACAAGATGCTTGAGAGTTCAGGACAAGATCTTCTTGGGCAGCATCCAGATCTTCCAAGAACTTGCTATTATTTCTCTTGTTCTCCTTTTCGTTCTTGCTCTTGTTATTAATGTTGTTATTGCTGTTCCTGCTCCTGTTTTTATTGTCGCGTTCTTGTTCTTGTTATTCTAGTTGTTGTTGTTCTTGTAATTCTGCTGGTGCTGTTGTTGTCGTTGTTGTTGTTCTTCTTGTTGTTGTTGTTGTTACCGTTGCTGTTGTGGTTATTGCTCTTGGTCTTGTTCTTGTGGTTTTTGCTCTTGTTCTGGTGCTTGTTCCTCAAGGACAAGGACTTACAGCGTATCATCCAACATGTTTGAGGGTTAGGGACAAGACAGACAGAATCTTAGAGCGTAGCGTAGCATCCAACATGTTTGGAGGTTAAGGACAAAATCTTATTTCGTAGCTACAAAGATTTGCAAGTTAAGGACAAAATCTTACACGGTAGCATCCCAGATGATTGCAAGATCTTACGGTGTAGCATCAAGGATGATCGAAAGTTAAGGACTTTTTGTTGTTGGTGTTGTGGTTTTTGTTCTTAGTTTTGTTTTTGTGGTTGTGTTCTTCTTCTTGTTCTTGATCTTGTTCTGTTTCTTGTTCTTGTTCTTGTTGTGGTTCTTGTTCTTGTTCTCCATCTTGTTCTCCTTGTTCTCCTCGTTCCAATCGTTCTTATTCTTTGTCTTCTTCTTCTTCTTGTTGTTGTTGTTGTCGTTGTCGTTGTTGTTGTTGTTCTTCTTCTTGTTCTTGTTTAAAGTTGGTTTTGCAAGGTCTGTGTCGCATAGGCCGGGACTGTCTATCACACCGGGGGGGCATTATAGATAATATCTTTCAACCAAATAGAAAGGAAAATTGCCACTCGTTTAGTCGAATGCTACGTTTCAATCTTTTGGGGGGTTGCTATAATATCTGTCATTGGTCTACGGAATTCGCTACGAATTGTCTCGCAATATGCCATCATTCCTTGGCACTTCAAGTCTTGAAAAAAAGCCACTTGCCCCGCAGCCACAAGCAGCGACTTGCAGCGACTTGCAGCCACTTTCAGCCACAAGCAGCCACTTGGCCCGCAGCCACTAGCAGCCACTTGCCGCCACTTGCAGTCACTTGCCCCGCAGCCAGAAGCAGCCACTTGCCCTGCAGCCACAAGCAGCCACTTGCAGCGACTTGCAGCGACTTGCAGCCACTTGCCCCGCAGCCACAAGCAGCCACAAGCAGCCACTTGCAGCCACTTGCAGCCACTTGCAGTCACTGGCAAGTGGCTGCAAGTGGCTGCTTTTTTGAAAATCAAATTGCGCACTTCCTGCGCCCACAATGCGAATGTGTCGAACATTGACATTGACAAATTAAAGACATAAATGGCCCGCCAATCTGCCAATCTGACGTTTCCACACGTTTGTTTGTCAATGTTCCATCGGACAGGTTTTGTGGCCTAAAACTGGGTGTCTGAGCGACTGTGTGTCGCCATGCTGCTGAAGTTGGTAGCTTTGCTCACGCTGCTTGGCTCTTGCCAAATCGGAAGCAATTGGTGCAGGCCAAAGCGGCGTGGTGGATGGAGGCTTTCCTCTTGCAACCACTTCTTTGGCCTTGCAAAACAAAAATGACTGAAGTATCTGACAGTTTTTTGCAGACACAACAGGCGAAAGCAATGTTGAACAATGGAACCAGAATAAGCAGGATGAATCAACCCATTTCTTTTAAAATTCTGGGATAAACTCAAAGCAGCACTGTATTGTTTGTCACCCCTGACCTCCATGGCCGCTTGGAAAGAAGTCATCGTGACAGCTGGTGTGCTTGAATCCATGTCTCCCTTTGATGCCGGGGACTTTCTCCTGCCAGCAAACTGAAACAACCAACGGTCTCTGCCCAAGTTAAGCTTGACCTTAGTGGGCATGTAGGATTTAGTAATACCAAAAAAACAAATATAGCCATATATAGCCTATCATAATCTCAAGTATTTGCAATGCTGATTCTTGATGCCGGTTACGTTCAGTTCGGGGCCATTGAAACCATTCCAGTGAACTGCTGCAGCGTCGAACTCAGCGACGGCACTGCAGACTCTTCAGACCCGTTTAGATGCAGTTTGGTGGTGCTTGTCGGCTAATTGAGAAATTGAAAATCGTACTCCATGCACCCCTGACCCATTAGCTTGTTGCTAGTTGTTAGTACGATGATCCACAACAGGGTCCGTTCTCCGATATATCATGAAATATCTGTCTCCTGGGTGCTTTGGAAGGAGATGTGCTGGCAAGATCTCTCGCGTCTGGCTGTAGTGTTGCCGCAGGCTTGTCACAGTTACGCGAAACGGTCACTTCATCTCCATCACGCAAAACGTCCACAATGCGTTGTGTAGGCAAGAGTGCAAACCCGTTGACCTTCAGGACCATCTTGCCCATCCTTTCAATCCATAGATTCCACTAGATTCAGGTAGGGGTTCGGGATGGTCCTAGATGGTCCTAGAATCCTGGAAAATAAACTGGCCACCAGAAAGTTCAAAACATTGTTTGGAGACTGGTCACTCGCTTTCGCTGCGCCTGTGAACATGTTTCGCCAGGTCGGCAACTAGCACCAAACTTCTTGGGACCGGCATCAAGAACCGTCTCTGTTCCGCTTCATCCACCACTTTGAGGCGCAGCCCCATATTGGACATCACCAGGATTGAGCTGCCGGTATTGAAATGTATTGAACCAGTCACACCATGAAAGTGGTCAACATGCCCTTGATTTCCAGAAAATGCATGTCACAACTTTTATCAAACAATATAATCCTGGAAGTTCTCAGCTTACCAAGGCAAGAAGGAATTTCTACCAAACGAAGGTGACAAGCATACCAGCATAGACAACCACGGACTTGCTGCCGCTTCTGAACGAAAGCAAAATTCAGGTCACACAAACCACAAAAAGCAAAGAATTACAAATTTCATCAGTTTGCCAAAGCTTGCGTGACTATACTGTGTGTAAGCAGCTAAGCCAAAATGTAAGCGAGAAACGCAAACGAACTCATCACAGCACATGTCACCCTGAAATCCTTGAGCATCCTTGACCACTAGTCACTATTCGATAGCGGTGGGCAACCGCGGAGTTTTTGGAAAGAACAATGGAAGCAGTGGTAGTGGTCAAACTACGGGCTTCACCGTGCAAAACTTACGTGCCGCACGCCACAACGGGCAGTCGAAACAAATCAAATTGCAACGTTTCGGGCGTTTCAAAGGTTTCAGGATGTCTGAAATCTTTCATTCAAGTATCGCCTTGCAGGGTGGCTCAGTATCGCCTTGCAAGGAAGATTCGCACGCTTTTTTGCGGCATTGGATTTGGTCCAGTCTTTCCAGAGTTCTGTGGGCCCCAAAGGCACATCACTGGCACGTGTTTCCCCACCTTTGTCGCGCTTTCGTCCGACAAGGGGTCTGCGTACTATTGCTTCGGCATCCGCTCACAGTGCCTTTAAGACGTTGCGAAACTATTGATATGGAAACAAGCCTGCCTACAATTTTGCAGTGTGCGCCTCTTCCCACTTTGCAATGTGACTCCCGAAACTATTATTCAAAACTGCTGGCCCAGGGGCCGGAACACAACAAAAGAGTAAAAAAACATAAATAGTAAACACACTTCCACGCAATTGCAGAACTCCTGCCTCCCCACCTGTGACTGTGGATATACTGTGTATGTTGGACTTCAATGGACTCTGGACTCTGTCGGTGGGCTCTGTTGAACTGACCTGACCCGGGGCCCATTGCCTGCTTCAGTAGCCGAAGCCGATGCTCAGCGAAAGGACCAATGCCACTGGGCCACGGTTTCAAAAACATCTCCGGCATCTTCAGACCCCAAGTGCACAGCGCTGTGCACTTATATTTCGCACTGCACTGGGTGCTTCGCCCTTTCATTGCACCAAGCTGTGCAAGCTCCGTACATTGAAAATTTTGATCTCTTGAGTGGCAATAATCCTTACAGACAGGAACGAGCAAGTCATGCAAGTTCTTGCCTCAACAATAGCCTTTGGCCACTCTTGAGGTTTCACTTCTTTCGCATCAAAGTGCGAACCTGGAGATAGGGAAGTGTTCTCGAAGAATGACTATTTTGCTGCTCAAATTTCATGAGCAAACATGAGCCAAGGCAATCCTGGGGCGGAAGTTTCGAACAGTTTGAGCGCCTGTACGGTAAGAATGCCTACAGGAACAGTGCCCCCCTTGATGAAATCAATGTATATACTGTACATAAATGTTTGGAGAGATATCTCCCAGAGGTAGAGACAGATGGATGGATGATGAGGTAGGTTGGTAGATACAGACCAAAGAGTTCAGGGAAAAGGTATATATAAGAAGAAAGGTTTGGCTGAAGAGGTACTTAAGGAGAGAGACAGCATAGAGAAGAGGCAACTCAGAGAAGAGCTAGCTCAAAGAGCCTTCAGACCACCCATCAGCTAGTCATTTTGTCATTTAATCTTTCAGCAACCTGTCGTTTGAAGGGTACACGCTGGAAAAAACTTAAGAACCTGTACTTTGATCATTTTTTGCAGCTTTATTTGTACAATATTTGCAGGCTTTTGGAACTGCAAAATGCAATTTGCATGGTATTGAAAGCGTGTTGGCCTTGAATCTTTGAGCTTTATTTGCAGCTGAAATTTTTATTTGCAAATAGTTGCAGGGTTTGAAAATTAAATGTGCAATTTTAAAGCGTTTTGCGCGTTGAATCCCTCGTTTGCACCGTGCCCGCAGCATCTTGGAGCCAGCATCTGTACTACGCGGGGGATTATCTGCAATATTTCGTTTTATTTGCAACACATTGTTAAGGCTAAGACTTAGTTTTAAGATTCTTATGTTTTAAGATTTATTTCAAGTTGTTTTAGGGTGTATTTGGGGATTATTTATGGTTGATTTTAAGGTTTCCGTACGGTTAGTTTGGGCGTGTGTTTTTAAAATTGTTTTGCGGATTTTTGCGGTTTAGATTTGGTTGTCTTGGGTTTTCTTTAGGGTTTCTTTTAAGGTTTCCTTCGGCTTGTGTCATATAGTCTAGTGTTGATTTGGGGTTGGTTTGGTGTTTGTTTGGCGTGGATTTAAGTTGTTGTAGTGTGAATTTAGTGCTGGTTTGGTATTTCTTTTCGATTGTTTTAGGGTCTATTGAATGTTGGTTTAGATTCGATTTTGTTTAGTGGTAATTTTGAAATATATTTCGTTTTTTTTTGTTATGTAGTGCATGGGCTTACTTAGTGCTGGTTTACGGTTTAATTTTATGGTTTATTTGTTTAGGCTTTGCTGAAGGTGTATTTATGGTTGTTTTGGTGTTTTTTTATGTTCGCATTTGTGTTACAGTATATAGTAGTGCCGATTTATGGTTGGTTTGGTGTTTGTTTGATTTTGTTTTGAAGCTTGTTTAGTTTGGTTTTTTGTTTAGGTTGTTACGTGTCATTTTCGGGCTTAGTTGGATTTGTTTTTTCCCCACATCTTTGTGTGGGGTTCTTGTTCTTGATTGTGCGCTCCTGTCCGCTCCTCTTGCCTCCTGCCTCCCGCCGACTCGCACACAACCACACAACTTACTCACACACAACTTACTCACACACAACTTACTCACACACACACAGCTTACTCACACACAAGTCATACACACACACACAACTTACTCACAACTTACCCACACACACACAACTCATACACACACACACACGCACACAGCTTACTCACCCACAACTCACATACACACAGCTCCCCCACGCACAACTCTCCCGCACACAAACTTTCACTTTGCGTGGCAGGCGTGTTCTTGGTGACGTCAAGCTTCACTTTGTGTGGCAAGCGTGGCACTGATGGCGCTGGGCTGGCTCTGGTGGCGCGCTTGGTTCCTGTTTGTCGCCGTGGACGCCGCGGCTCACTTTGTGTGGCAGGCCTGGCGCTTGGCGACGTCGATCTTCAGTTTGTGTGGCAGGTGTGGCGCTTATGGTACTGGGTTGGCTCTGGTGGCGCGCTTGGTTCCCGTTTGTCCCCGAGGACGCGGCGGCTGTTTGTGTGGCAGGCGTGGCATTTGGAAGCATCGGCCTCCATTCTGTGCGGCAGGCGTGGCACTTGGCGACATCGGCCTGGCAAGCGTGGCGCTTATGGTGCTGGGCTGGCTCTGGTGGCGCGCTTGGTTCCCGTTTGTCCCCGAGGACGCGGCGGCTGTTTGTGTGGCAGGCGTGGCATTTGGAAGCATCGGCCTCCATTCTTTGTGGTAGGCGTGGCGCTTGGCAACATCGACCTTCACTTTGTGTGGCAGGCGTGGCACTTATGGCACTGGGCTGGCTCTGGTGGCGCGCTTGGTTGCAGCTGTTTTTGGAAGAATCGACCTCCATTCTGTGTGGCAGGCCTGGCGCTTGGCGACATCGGCCTTCACTTTGTGTGACAAGCGTGGCGCTTATGGTACTGCGCTGATCCGCTGATCCGCTGAGCCGCCGCTGGCCCAGACGATATGGCGATCATGAGTGGGTGGCACGCTTGGTTCCCGTTTGTCGCCGAGGAAGCGCGGCTGTTTGTGTGGCAGGCGTGGCATTTGGAAGCATCGGCCTCCATTCTGTGTGGTAGGCGTGGCGCTTGGCGACATCGACCTTCACTTGACGTGCCGTGGGAAGAGGCAACCTTCTGCATCCGCCAAGAACCTGCTGCAGACCCTCCGCTCTCATGACACTCTGCGCGGGCTGCTCGGCCACATTGCGCATGCTGCCAAGACCGGTGGTTGCCATTCACCTCTACTCATGGCACGTCGGTTGTGGCTACATAACATGATCACCCAAAACTAATGTCTTAGTCTTACACCACTTCTGTCCCACGCAACTCTTTCACACAATTCTTTGACACACACACACACACTTTCCAACGCCTTTTACACCCACTCCTTGTCCAACACCACTCTTTCACCCACAGCACTTTCACGCATACGACTCCTTCACACACACACACACACACCGCTTTTACATACCACACCTTTACATCCTTTACACACACTTCTTTCACCAACAACACTTTTACACGGAACTCTTTCACACACCTCACTTCGACACGCATTTCTTGCGCACACCGATCCTCCACCATCTCTTTTCTCCTCCTGCCTTTCCCATCCCATTTTCACCTGTCTTTGGCTACTTTCAGTTATCCGGTCCTTTAATTTTCGGTTCTTCTTTCAGTTCGCTTGAGGGATGTTTATGTAGGACGGTTTTTAGATTTTATCGAAGGTTGGTTTGTGGCATATTCAAAGCTGCTTTCCCATATTCAAAGAGGGAAAAGGACCAGGGGATCAAGAGGAACCAGGGAAAAAAGGGCCAGGGGACCAAGGGACCAGGGGACCAGAGGACGAGGGAACAGGAACCAAAAAACATACCCCCCCAAAAAATTCCCACATCTTTGTGTGGGGTTCTTGTTTTTGGTTGTGCACATCCGCCCTGCGCGCCCGCCTCCCGCCTCCCGCCCGCGGCCCACAACTTGTCTTCACACAACTTGTCACCACACAACTTGTCCACACACAACTTGTCCACACACAACTTGTCACCACATAACTCGTCACCACACAACTTGTCCACACACAACTCATCCACATATTCACACGCAACTTGTCACCACGTAACTTGTCCACACACAACACACAACTTGCTCACACACAGCTTGTCACCACACAACTTATCCACAGACAACTTGTCACCACACAACTTAGTCACTCACAGACAACTTGTCCACATACAACTTGTCACCACGCAACTTGCTCACACACAACTTGTCACCACACAACTTGCTCACACACAACTTGTCCACACACAACTTGTCACCACACAACTTACTCACACACAACTTGTCCACACACAACTTGTCACCACTTACTCACACACACACAACTCGCTCACACACAACTTCTCCACACACAACTTGTCCACACACAACTTGTCCACACACACAACTTCTCTACACACAACTTGTCCACACACAACTTGCTCCCATACAACTTCTCCACACACAACTTGTCACCACAATACTTACTCACACACAACTTGTCGTGGCACTTGGCGACATCTGCTTCCGCTTTGCGTGGCAGGCATGGCGCTTGGCGACATCGACCGTCACTTTGCGTGGCAGGCATGGCACTTGGCGACATGGACCATCACCTTGTGTGGCAGGCGTGGCACTTATGGCACTCGGCTGGCTCTGGTGGCGCGCTTGGGTCCCAGTTGACGCCGTGGGCGGCGCAGCTGTTGACGTGGCAGGCGTGGCGCTTGGCGACATCGACCGTCACTTTGCGTGGCAGGCGTGGCACGTGGCAACATGGACGGTCACTTTGCATGGCAGGCATGGCGCTTGGCGACATGGACCGTCACTTTGCATGGCAAGCGTGGCCCTTATGGCACTGGGCTGGCTCTGGTGGGGCGCTTGGGTCCCAGTTGGCGCCGTGGTCGCCGCAGCTGTTTGCGTGGCAGGCGTGGCGCTTGGCGACATCGACCTTCACTTTGCGTGGCAGGCGTGGCACTTGGTGACATCCACGCTGCAAGTGAATCATCTCTCTCAAATACGACTTTGTCACACACACACACAACTTTGTCACGCATAATCTTTCACACACGTCTCTCCCACATGCAACTTCGCCCTCACATCTTTGCCACGCGCAATTTTGCCACACACACACAACTTTGTCGCGCACAGCTCTTTCACACACAACTTTGTCACAAACAACTTTGTCACACACAACTTTGTCACACACAACTCTTTCACACACACAACTTTGTCACAGACAAATTTGTCACACACAACTCTTTCACACACAACTTTGTCACAAACAATCTTTCACAACTACCTTTTCACACTCGCACAACTTTTTGTCACGTACAACTTTTTGTCATATACAATCTTTCACACACATCTTTGTCACAGACAACTCTTTCACACACACACAACTTTGTCACAGGCAATCTTTCACACAACCCTTCACATACAACTGTTAAAATTATTGATCCTCCACCATCTCCATTGTCCTTTCTGCTTTTTCCGTGCTGCTTCAGCCACTTTTTCTGATTATTGGATGAAATTGACTTGTGGGATTATCCGGCCCTTTAATTACCAGTATCGCTCCACTCTGAGCCACTTTCTTTGACCCACGCTTGCCTCAAATATCTGATTCCTCAGTTGCACCTTCTTCGACCTCTTCTCAGAACTATTTCTTTTTTGTCTCTAACAACATGCAGGTGAAGGGAAAGAACTCAGTGAGAAAGAGTATCTCAAAGGAGAGATGGCTCAAGAGCCGACGCCACCATTTGGCAATGTCGGTTTTTCCTTTCAATTGTCTTCACAATGATTTGTAACGCGCATATTCATGTAAAGCACTATCAACTAATTCGTATCCCATCGTGTCTCCATGCGAATCATGGCTCAAAGCGACTGACTGACTGTTGCTCAAAGCAGAAAAGTGGCTACCGCTCCGGTCAACGGACATGTGTCTGCAACTCAGAATTTTCTCATCTAGAATTGTCTACAGGAACTACATTCAATATGCAAATGATTTCAATGAAGCTTCCCTATCTCGCCCACCAAGCCCGATCGTTGCCAAGGAAACAAGCGCAGGACTTGTTTTCTCGTCTCGGTTGCTCTGGGACTGCTGTTTTCTCTTTCTTGTGTGAGCCAGTTGTTGTCACTAGGATGTTTCTCCCCTTGAATCAACATCAGGACCAAATTGCTATGGACTTCTTCCGCTTTCCAAAAACCAATCAACTCAGCTTCTTGAGTACTATAACACCTTAGAATATGTATATGTCTATTATACATGCATGCGTGAATTTATGTATGTATGCATGTGCAAAACACATAATTGCATATATAATTATTTCCCTTCATGTGCATGTACATGTGCTTGCATATGCACATAGCACATAGCACATACACATATATGCGTTTGCACATATGCACATATACCCATATGCACATATGCCCATACACACACATATATATACACATATACACATACATATACAATTACATATACATATATTTACAAACACATACATACACACATACATATTTATATACATAAATAATGCCTGGGCTCTGCCCCGAACCGCAACGACGACGGGCACCATCATCATCATCATCATCGTCGTCGTCATCATCATCATCATCTTCATCATCTTCAATCATCATCAACAACAGCCACAACATCATCATATACTATTCCCTAATACCTCTGTTGATCTTCCCAATTGAAGGTAAAGTTTAACAGGAGTGGGATTTTGATATTCCTTAATACCTTTGTTGATCTTCCCAATTGAATGTAATGTTTAACGGGGGTGGGCTTTTAATATTTCCGAATACCTTTGTTGATCTTCCCAATTCAATGTAAAGTTCAACGGGGGTGGGCTTTTAATATTCCCGAATGCCTTTGTTGATCTTCCCAATTGAATGTAAAGTTTAAGGGGGGTGGGATTTTAATATTCCGTAATACCTTTGTCGGTCTTCCCAATTGAATGTAAAGTTGCAACAGCATTTGATTGGGAATGGGAAAGCCCGGGTATTGGGCATATACATATACATATATACATAATTATACATATATGAAGCTTTCTTCCGGACAGTTCTGAACGGGCGACTGGATGATCTTTTCTGTCAAGAACTGACTGCAAGCGAAACCCGCATTGCTATTGATCTTTTCCACGTTCGGTGATTGCAAAATTGTACTCATTGCAAAGGGTTGCGTTCCACTGACAGGAGATGGTACAATCTTGTAGATCTTGTAGTGTAGGGAAATGGAGAAAGCTCTGTGGACAATGGTGCTCAAAGCAGTGTATGACTTCAGGCACTGCGGTGTTGAGAAACCTGCAGTCCTAGTAGCTCTTTCGACAGCACTGCGTCAGTCAACCTGTCCATGCCGAGACTGGTTCAAGATGGCTTAAGAGTGGAACCATACGGGTTCTAACCTCTGGGGTTGCTTGTACGATTCTGTAAGCTGATGTCATGAAGTGTTGGCCAACCGCTCGGATACAAAGAAAAGAAATGTGAGCAGTATATACTCAATATCTCTCAATATAGTGTCTTGTCTCGAAAAATTGTCAACGACCGCATGGCCGCATTTTAATCCATGGGCTATTACAGCAGCCCATTCGCAGCAAAATGGCTGCACATATGTTGCCTGTAGCCGTGCGTGGAACATCGTGGAACACTGATATATACATTGACATACATATATATATATATAATTAATTATATATACTATCATATACTAACATAACCTAACATATATCATATATATATATATATGTAGTATACACGCACATAAGCGTGCAAACATACGCACACCTTCAGCACGTATTCTCTCGGCGTGACAGCGACCGATGCATTTGGAAGATAGTGCTCTCACTTCTGTTGCTTTGTCCCTGGCCTCCACCCGGGGACATAAGCAAAGAGAAACACAACAATTGCAAGGAGCACGTGACCCTTCCGGTGTAGATCTTGCCCAGTCGTGAGAAAACCTGTTGTACGCAAAAGGAAGAATTAGATCAATAACATTCAATCGCTGGTGATTGCAGGCTGCAAGTAGCTCAGTTCCCTTCATACCTTCAACACGCTGGGCAATTTACAGCCGGGCTGTACAATTCGTGCTACAAGGCATCGCATTGTCAGAGCGTTGGCATTTCCGGATGGAGATTTCTCAAACTTCTTGGAGTTACAAAATGCAAACAACAAGATGTGGCTCAGCACAGCACTGCCGAAGTTTGCTGATCTTTTACAAACTTCATGTCATGAAGTCATGATGGGTCACCTGAGACTAGGCTAGAGGAAGAAACGTGAAACTATTTACGATGTGAATGTGCGAGAATATTATGATTACGATGTGAAAATGCAAGTTTGTGAGAGCAAACACGAATGGACACAAAGCAACTTGCGTTTGATCCGTCTGGTGCAGTTGGCAAGCCTGGCACCAAACCTTCCATTGGATATCGAGCGAAAATGAGGTGATGAAGAGTTCCATTGAAGGCGCTTTTATTGCCAAGGCTCCTTCATGCGCATTCCGGATACTCGGAAGCCTTTGGAAGTCTTGAAATCAATCGCTTGCGAAGCTGCCTGATTTATTGGCCCCCTGTTTTCTTCCTGCTTTGGACGACAGCAGCAAGTTTGGATGTTTAATTTCAAATCTCACAAATGTTGTAAGTTTTATATTCTATATAGTATTATATAGTCGTTTGTTTTGTTTGTCTTGTTTACAATGTTTGCACTCGCTTGCGAGACGTATTGTAGCTTCAAAGCAATGCCAAAGCACTGACCTTTGAAGCAGAACTCTTGGGCCTTGTGGAATGGGACTGACAATGGCCTCGCAAAGAGCAACGGAGCACAAAAGTGACATGCCCACTGAATGACATTGCGCATCAGGGCGAAAAAAAACACACATACCGATGAAGTCTGACATGCTGTGAAAACGAGTGCACAACAAGTCAGTCACCCCCCACGGAGGCACTGCAAACTGCATGGGTTCACGTTCATCCACGAAATCACTGTAAAGCTTCAATGACAGGACCTGCCAAAACACCGTTTGCACATTGCACATAATTGCGACTGAAATTCAATGAAAGATTCTTGCTTGACAGTAGAAGTTCAAGGTCTCCAAGCACCTCTGAGGTGCAAAAGCAAAACAGAACTTATGGATGTGTTCCTGTGTCTGATCCCAAACCAGTTCCTCCTTTGACAAAAAGTGGAAAAAAAACGCTGAGGTGCCTTTCCCCAACAGCAAGCCGTTTGCGGTTTTGACCCATTTAGGCACGTTTATATATATATATATATTTTTTTTTCTCCTATGATCGATTCAGATCTCCTAAGTGGCACAAGAAAAACTTTGGCGAGTCCGTGGGAAACTTGGGGGAATACCCGTGTAGGCTGCTCAACATCTTCCAGTGCGGGGGGTCGAGATCATTTAGTCGAGATCTTCTCCAAGAACTTGTCTATGGCAAAATGGCTGACAATGTTTATTGCATCAGACCCACAACTTTCGATTTTCATGGAGGGAATGTCTGGACAATGCATTTTGAGCGTGGACCAAGCGCAAAATACATTTTCTGGAGGAACTCTGCCAACCAAAGGGTCCTTTTGATTTTGAACCCAAACTTCAAAGACATTGTGTGATTGTTACTTTTCATTCGCATTGCGCTATATAATCTGTACTCGATACAGCTCGCATCTTGTGCAAACTTCAAAACTTCCTTCGATTAGATGGTTACTATTGCCAAATATTGCATATAAACGAGAAACATTGACATATGATACAGATGTTTTTAATATACAGTTTACATATAATGACATATATATAGTTTATACAATGTGTAGTATAAATAGCGGTTCTGTAGCATGTCCAAAAGCGATGGCAGGTGTGGGGGCACTGGAAAAAGTTCTGGAAACATAAATTTCGCGTCGCAGGCGCAGTGCAAGAGACATGTTCATCAGAG